AAATCACATCATCTTTGCTGGATTTTTAAGTTTAAGTGCCTTTTAGATCTGATTAAGTGATTTTCTTTTGTTTTTTTAAATTTTTTTTTTTTACATAAATTGACCTTTCTTCTTCACACCTGATGTTTTCATGGACAACATTTTTGACTGTTCCTTCTTATGCAATTTTTCTAGGATTGTCATCAATGGTCTGCTGAACTTGCTGGATAAATTTGGATGTTCTGATGATGTCAGAGTGTTTGGAATGCTTTTTACATTTTGATACTGGTGATAAGTGTCTATCTTCAGTCTTTAACTCCTTACAAACTTTATAGATAAAAAATCTGATGACTTTTAAAAATTGAGATATCTTTAAATCGCTATGCTCAGTCTTTAAAGCCACAATTGCAGCATGCCTTTTCATTTCTTGCTGAGTGTTTGCCATATTATTTTCTGGAAAAAATGATGTAGAGTTTAGTAAAATGTGGCAATAACAAAATAATGGATGTCCTCAAATACCTTACTCACCTTGTATTATTATTATTATTATTATTATTATTATGCATCTATGTTCATGAGTGGGAGAAATGGTGATGTGACATGATCAGATTTCTAGAGGGTTGTTTTTAAGTTTGAAGGATGAGGCAGCCAAGGTGACTTGGGGGATACATCTGAATACTTGAAAACATTCTCAATCAAGGACCATCTGAGTAGACTGTTATCTGACTTGAAGGTATTTGTAACTTTGTCCCCAACCTCTTACAAGGTTATGCGTTGCTTTTTGTCAAAACCTATCATCATATTGTGCATATTTAGTTATGATGCATGTACTTGTTCAAATAATTTTGAGAGTATGGACTTGTCAGTATTTACAAATAAATACTAACAAATTACTAACAATAAATAACAAACTTATTACTATAAATGTCTTATTTTTGGGATACATGTGTTTAAATAAACCTCCCTGTTTTTTTTTAAATTTTTTTTTAAACAGTGTATTTGATATCTACCATCCTGGGAAATTGAAAATTTCAAAGGAAACGTGTCTTTCAACAGGGAATTTTCTTAAGACTTTCAATTTCTCAGACCAGTAGACATCAAATACACATTAAAAAATGTTTACTCAAACACCAGTATCCACAAAACATGTTAAATTGATAGCAATAAGAAATAATGTTGGATTATAAAAATCTATGAATTCCTTAGAATATAATTCTTTTTGGCTCTATAGGCAAAATTGAAATAAGATAAAATTATATAATTTTGTGTCACTCTATAGACAAAAATCCTCGTTTACTTATATTGCAAATGTGAATTACCTGAAAATAAAAGTTAAAATCTTTGTTTAAGATTAAACTAAAGAAAATCTTAAAGATTTTCTTTCATTTCCAGGTAAGTCATATTTACAGACAAGGATTTTTACCTGCATCTTATCCTATTTGAGTAAATAAAAATTTTACTGCAGTAATTACAGAGCTGATTGAATCTGACAAATAGTAAATGAAGGAAAAAGAAATTACTTTATTAAATACAGTTTTTCCTCAGAATATATTTGTGGTAGCTTGTTTAGCTAACTTATGTGAAGTATTCAATAAATCTTTGGGTTTGAATGTTTTGTATGCATTGTTGTAGCATCAGCATGTAAAATGGAATTGGTGTGCTGATTTGAAATTCCAGCCAAGTTTGTTGCATTCACTTTTGCATATATAACCTTGAGGAAAAGTATGTATGCATTTCTTCTTCCCTAGCTTTGTTTAACAACCAGTCTATACTATTGCAAGTTCAATTTGGGTCTAATCAAAGTCATTTTGGGACAAAGCAAATTCAAAATGAAATAGCCAAGTTCAGAATGGAATAGTCAAATTCAAAATGGGATGTAGCAAATTCAAAATGGAATAAGCAAATTTGATTTGGGACTTAGCAAGTTCAAAATAGATTAGGCAAATTCAATTTGGGACTGAGCAATTATTTTGCTAAAAAAGACTAAAATTAAATATTTTCATGATAAAATAATAATATTCAACTAAACTTTACTACTGAAATATTTTATCTTCTAGGAGCAATCAATAAATCAAGAAAATTCATGAAATGTGTATGTTTTTTGGATGCAACTTTCAATGCTTAAAATCTCTCACTATACCTATCTTTTTTCAAACTCTGTCTTGATATATGCCATCAGTATTTCCTTGCTGCTTTTTCTTAGGACTTTCAAGATTTGCCCTGTTGTCCCCCAAATCATTTCATTTTGAATAACTCTCCCTTATTCTCTCTTTTTTAACACTACATACAGTCTATCCATCTCTTTCATTCCTTCTTCTCTTCTCCCCGATTGTCTTACCAATGAAAGTGCCAGAAACTCTAACTTTGACACAAATTTATCTGTTAAAGAATAGCCTCTTGTAAGAAATTGATTGTAAAATCTATGCCACACTGTGCTCAGATTTTTAATTATCCGATTTACTGCCCACTTGATGGTGATTGGAAATTGACATTTTAATAGTTAAACAGCAGTGATACATGGCCTATTATTATTACAATGTCATTGTGTAGAAAACATCTAACAAAGAACGAGTCTGAAATGAAAAGAAGTCAGATATTGGCAGCATTTAATTCAGATGGACAATGGAGAGAGTTGGTGGAACATCTTGGAAAAAAAGTCAGTTTCCAATCACTACTTATGGAAAAATAATTGTTCCAATTTGAACTCGCCTAGTCCATAATGAATCTTCTTAGTCCAATTCAAACTTGCTTATTTCATTATGAATTTGCTTTGTTCCAAATTAAACTTGCTTATTTCATTTTGAATTTGCTACTTCCCATTTCTGAACTTGCTTAGTCCCAAAATGACTGATTAATCCCAAATTGAACGTGAAATGGTATAGAAGATGGACAATTCGGTATCCAAAACCAGTTGGCCAATGAGCTCTCAACTCCATTTCATAAAAACTTACTTTCTCAGCAACCATAGCAGCAACACCTAGAGTATTAAGAGCCATGAGCCCCATACTACAGAGAATGAAACAAAGTAAAAAAGAGGAGGATCGTAGTAGTCTGAATTTACTTTATATATTAATTTAATTGTATTGATATAAATTAATAAGTTAATACTAATTTATATAATTTAAGTTATATTATTATTTATAACTTCATTTTCTATAATTATTTTCATGGTAATTGTTCTGATGAACTTACTTTTATGGTACCTTAATAATGTTTTTTATACTCTCACACTCAAGTAACCCTTTGCATCTTAGTGGCTTTATTGCCTTAAAATAAAGTTACCTTATTCTAAGTTATTACATAATTTAGTTTATATTATTATAGGTTATCATTTAGGATTAATGCAAATAAATGTAATTTGTCACTGATTGATGTTATATTCAGCTTCGTCCAAACTTTTTGGTAATTGTTCAATCCACTGTTCAGGAGGTTTCAGCAATTAACCGCCATTAACTTTTTTTAATAATTTAACATGTATAATATTAAGAAACATATTCCTGGCCATATCAATATATTCCAGGGTATATCATATTTAAAATGATTTCCCCATTTTTGACAATTTGCTACGTTAAATTTTTGTTTGTTTTATGAGACTTATTAAATCTCAATATTTATTCCTGACTCATTTAAATAAAAGAAAAAGTCCTCACATTCCAAACAGCTCTGAAAACTACCAATTCAGGCATAGATATGAAGACAGCCAATTAATTATATTGGCTGATATTTTGTATCAAAAAATAAAGATGAAAATACTATTCATGGAATATCGAAAATGTTAATTCAAGAAACTTCAATGGATTTCTGAAGTTCTGAGTCATTATTTTCATTATTTCCTGTAATTATTTAGACTCTTTTTCTTAATCAATCTTATTGCTTTTTAACATTCTGGTCAATTCATTCAGCAAAAGGACATAAGAAAATCTCTAGATAACAAGTGAAATGTATTTTTTGAAACACCAAAGATAAAAATGACAGACTGAATATATTGAATTATAAAAAATTTTTTAATCTCAAAGCTTCAGAAAAAAAAATTTTAATCTCAGAGCTTCAGAAATCTTGTACAGTTTATCTAAAATTATTTTAGATTTTATCTTGTCAAAGTTTTTTTTTTTACCTTTGTTTCCAAAAGTTAATCCAAGAGGCTTAATGTCTATTAAAGTAGATTAACAAAGAAAATTAGGCAAACTTGGACCTTTGTAACTGTAAAAAAAAAAAATAAATAAATAAAAGTGTGTCAAAAGGACATTTTTTCAATTAACACTACTATTATTTTAACTACCTTCACTTCTCAGCAATATTTATTCTTTTAAAAAGTGATGATTAAAATTGTAATAAAACCTAAGCATATAAAAGTGATTTTGTATATTTTCTTTGTTCTTGAGAATTTACAAAATGTTTATCAGAATGATTGGCAAAACATCGCCAATTGATTCAAACTTTATAAAATGGGAAATAATATGGTTTGTTCACATGTTTTAATAATTTTTTATAAATTTATGAATAAAAAATTGTTTTTATATCTCTTTCTTTATAAATTGGTAAATGATAAATATTGCATTGTATTAGTTTTTAGCTTGTAAATAAGCAGTCTAATAGTGTTTAATATTTTATTCTTAAGAAAAAAAATGTATAAATTCGCTTTCATCATATGTTTAGGTTTTATTACAATTCTGATCATTGCTTTTTAAAGCAATAAACATTGCTGAGGATAGAAGGTAGTTAAAATAATAGTTGGTTCAAAGGAAGAAAGAAAACGTCCTTTTAACACTCCATTACTTTGCATGAAGGTCCAAGATTGCTGAAAATTAATTAGTTTTCTTATTTATAGTGTGAAATTGGTCATTCTGTTAGTTTTCCATTAACTTTTAATTTCCTATCTTGTCTTTTCCCTTAGCAGCAATACCATTGTAATCCTTGGCTTACAAATATCACCCAATGTTAGACACTCTAAATAAACTTTTCACTATCTCAACAATCTCAAATAATTTTACTCAAAAAATGTAATTTTTTTTCCTCCACAGAGGATTGGGCATACAAAGAATTCTGTTGAATTTATTGAAGGTCTATTGTGATGCAAGCAACCTTGTTCTTATTTTGAATACAACACACTTAGAAGAGGTAAGAACATTTTAGAATTAAGGTATTTTCAAAGTTTTTTTATTTGTTCATAAATATGTTTGTTTTATTTTTTATAATTTCTCTGGAATAATACTAAACTTTATATTGTACTCCCTCTTTAGTCTTTGGTTTTCTTCTCCCTTCACTCTTCTCTTTCTCTGATCTTCTTCACACCCTTTTTCTCCACCCCCCATGTCTGCTCCCCTATCTTTCTCTCTTTTACTGGTTTTCTCCTCTCTGTTCTCAAGCTTACGCCCCCCCCTGCAGCTCTACAGATGCTATCTCTATAATCAAACAAAATTTTATATTTTGAGATCTTTTTAAAAATCTTTTTTTAAATTATATTTTAGGATCATTTGATTGAGCGATTAGAAGCTGATGGAGTCAGACCTGCTCCTAAAATCATCACAAATGAATACCAAGCAGCAGAAAGGTTTTTTGTTTCTTTTTGTTTACCTTCTTCTTGTTCCTTTATTATTTTTATTATTATTTGATATGATGCCAGTTTAATAATGCTGAATGTCTTTTTATGATAAGAATGGTGTTAGTGGCTAACTTTTTGATTTGTTTTGTTACAGATAATGTTAGCTTGATGCAAACAATATAACATTTTGTGCTGGTCTTACACCTTAACACAGTGGTTTCTGAAGTTTTTTTCTCCAGGCCACATTTTCAGAATGAAAATTTGCTTATGCCTCACCAAATTTTATGTTATAAAAAATATATTTAAAAATAAAAAAAAGAACAGAGTTGAAGGGAGATAACTGCAAATTCAAAATCAGAACATTATCATTGATAACTCTCTCCTCCAATTTGCAGCCCCTAGTTAATATATTCTTAATACTTGATATAATGTAAAAATATCACAATGTTAAAATTGGTCAATAATTATTTATAACTATTTATGCTGGGACTCATGCATGCAATTACAAGTAATCCATAATAATATTTTAAATTTTAAAATCATATTTATTTTTGGCATATAAATCTTTTAAAACTGTTTCTAAATCTTTGATTGTCTTTCAGTCATTCTGCCTCACTGCTCTCTACTTGTGTCACACTTTTTGGGAACCACTGCTTATAGATTTAGTAAGCTTAACTTAGTCTGGCATAAGACTACATTCACTGGCCAGTTAATAAATCACACATGAACAAATGCTCTTTCATGCAAATTGTTAATCAGTGAATGATATGGCAGCAATTTAATAGATAACAGACTGTAACAAATAAAAAAAAATAGTGGAAAATTGGTTCATGGAACACAGCAATGTGTTTTCTGTATTAAAGTGGCCTGCCACAGTTACTTGGTTTAAATCCCATAGAGCCCCTTTGGGATATGGTGGGAAGGAAGATTTGAATCCTGGATGTGCAGTCAACCAGTCTAGAAGAATTTCAGGATGCCATAATAACTATAAGGACACAAATTTAAAAAGAGTGCTTCCAGAACAAATCCGTGCTAAGAAAGATTGCTCTAAAGGCAAAAAGGGAGCTTCATCCCAGTACTAGAAGAGCATACCTACTAAGTGACCAGGGAGTTTGCAATAATTGAGATATCCAGTGAGGACTGAACTCACTAGCAATGGCTTGTGAGACTTGCTGTAAAGCAGACACCTGGTTAAAGAAATAGAACTTTGAATATAAAATAAAAACATAGATAAGTACAACCAAATTTTTGGCTAAACAACCTTTAATTCTCAGAAAAGATAATGCAAGAACAACGATAACCATTTTTTTTTTCGTTTTGACAAAACTTTTTTGTTTTTTTACCATGATTGATGTTGTTTTAAATTGTTGGAATTTTTTTTTCCCAATCATTTCACCCTAAGTAAGGTAAAAAACCACAAAGATGCAAGGGGTTACTAAGTGTGAAAGGATATGATACCAAGAAAACATTATTAACAAGAGAGAACAGTAAAAGAATAGAAATTAAAAAGACAAAAAATAACGATTGACACTGCATTTAAACTTTTGAAAATCAAAGTTGACTGGAAAACAAGAAGAGAGAATTTGAGAGAATTAGTCAAATTGTGTGAGAGTAGAAAGATGTATTCATTTTTATTAAGAAACTTTATTTAGTCATTGTGATATTGTTTGAAGAGTTTTAGCTAAGAATTGTCTTCATTTTTTAATAATTTTTATGACCTTGTTATATTTTTTCATAAACATTATTGTCATCAAGGAAAAAAAACAAAATAAAAATAAATGAACATTGAACACCACCCAAAAACATGCACACTTTATGGATTACCAAAAATACATAAACCAGACATCCCAATGAGACCAATTATATAAGGAATAGGCAGTACCTCACATAAACTAGCCAGCAGACTAACCAAAATTTTAACTCCACTTTGTTATTCAATTAGCTTCCTGCTTATAAAAAAATCGTAATCTTTTAAATAAAAAACATAGACATCAAAAACAAACATATGACTAGTTTAGAGATAAAATCTTTATACATAAATGTTCCTGTAAAGAAATGTCTAAATTTACTAAAAAACACACTTAACTAAAACAAAAATAAAATTACCTATTCCTACACATAAAATCTTAAAGATGTGCCATTTAATCACCAATCAATGTTTTTTCATCTTTGATAACATTCCCAAATATATTTATTTTCCATATTAAATGCTTTTGTCCAGTTAATTCATTTTTTTTCATTGTTTTCTTGGCCATAAAACATCAATTTTCTATCTTGTTTTAGGAATAGAGTCTACCTGGAAGGTGGAGTTTTATTCATTACTTCTCGAATTCTGGTTGTGGACTTTCTTACTGATAATATACCAGCACAACATATTTCTGGCATTATTGTCTGCCGAGCTCACAAGTAAGTACATTTACATATCATAAAATGTGTAAATAAATCCTTTAGGGATTAGAAAAATCAACCAAAAATTCAGTTGAGTTGTGTAGGAACTGCTAAATCATGTCAGAAATAAAGATGTGTGTTTGCTAGACTGAGCTGATCATGTAAGATAATAGATTTAAATGATTTTGTTAATTTTTCAAAATCCTGTCTTTTTGAAGAGACTTTTAAGGTGTTCAGGGTTTATATATATATTTTTCTTCCAGTAACAGATTGTACCAGAGATTTGCATAGATTTGTAACAAGTTTTATTCTAAATCTAAATAACAAAAAAAGAAGTGAGGTGTGTATCTTTAATCCTGTTGAGACCTGTTATAGAAGAAGATGCTACAGCATTTATCTACATCTGCATTAAAATGAGATGTTCTGGTAGTGTACTGGATAGTGGAATCTACAAACCAGGTTCAAATCCAATGCTCGTCTGTTGCTTTCACTTTTGTACAAATGCTCTTGGGAAAGCTGTGAATACATCTCTTCTCTCCCAGCTATGTGTTAAATAGTAGTGTATACTGGGTTCACTAGCCTTGAGTGACAATCAATCGAAGACAAGGAAAACTGAATTCCAAACCATGGAAAAGGTCCTGGGAAACCCCTATGTTTCCAAAAAGTGCATGACAATTCACAGATAAGAAGAAAGATCAATGGAAAATCGTGCATCTGCATGCTAAATGGACACAGAATTTTAAGATGTAAAAATGCAATCGGCATTGACGTCATTGAAGGACATTATTTACATTATTCGAACTATTGTCCTCATCTTTGTCACCATATTTATTACTAAGTTTTGGCTGTTGTACCGTAAGTTCTCCACTGCCTTAACCAGGTATTGAACTCAAGGATACATAAAGGCGTTGGTTAGATCCAGTGACAGGACCCAAAGAGTGTGAGTTCAATACCCGGTTAAAGCAGTGGAGAACTTTCAAAGGGAAATTAACAGGGGATAACTGATGACATCCATTAAACATGGCACATGGAACTAGAACAGTCTACTCCAGTGAGCAAAATGAAGGGTTAAGTTCAACATTCCAACCACCTGAAGAAGGCCTGAGCGTACAACAGCCGAAACGTTGTAATAAATATGGCGACAAAGATGAGGACAATAGTCCAAATAATGTAAATAATACCTCATCTCAGAAAAATAGTCAATCATTGAAGGAATGTGAAACAGACTAAAATACAAGTTTAAGTCTCTACATGGAATTCAAAGAAAAATTGACCTCATGAAGATTATGTAGCGTCAATGAAGTTTCTTCAGTTTTTGGCTTCAGATAATATTGTTGTATAGAGTTACAGAATTATGCTATCTTAAAAAAATTTTACCTCAATTTCTGTGATGAGTTATTATTATTTACATTATTTACAAGCAGACTATTGTCCTCATCTTTAATGTTATCACAATGTTTTAGCCATTGTGCTCTCCAGCCTTCATCAGATGATTGTTGATCCGAGGTTACCTTCAAAGAATTTCAAGCTGAACTCTTTATTTAATGTCCAGGGATATCTTATATAGTTTTTATACTGTACTGCTCAGTTATAGACTGAATTCATTAAGTGCAAGATTATCAAAGGAAATTATTTTTTTTTTTTTTTCATAATGTGTTGCCTCAGTGACCAAAGATTTCATTTCTTGCTTGTTTTCTAATTCCATTTATTTTCTACTGATTCTCATTTCAGAATCATAGAATCCTGTCAAGAAGCATTCATTCTCCGATTGTATCGACAGAAGAACAAAGTGAGTTTGAAACTTTCATGTTAAAACCCTGCGCACATTTTCTTTCCATTTATTGTGAGAAAATCATGAAATTCTAATTATAACCTGAATTCATTACAATAAAAGAAACCATTACAATAAATGTTATTTAGTAAATTTGTGCATTTAAACAAAGAGCAAAAATTGATGACATAGTGTGGAAGATTGATATACAATTCTCTATATCAGACTAATTATGGGTAACAGAATGACAAAATGGAAAAAAAAATCCTACATTATGAGTTACTTCCAGCTAAAACCATTATTAGTCTGAAGAAGTCCCTGCTGGAGATGAAACACATAAGTTTTTTTTCCATTTTATCATTCAATTACCCATGGCAATACAGGATGTGGCTAAATACCTCCATCATTTGACAAAAAGACCAAGGTAATTGCTATTAAAAATAGGGCTACAGTTTTTATTCATTTTGTTTTAAAAATGACATCCTCCAAATTGTGGCCTCTATTTGGCATACACTGTTGACAATTTCTATAGCCTGAACATTTTCTGAAGTTCAAATGCTTTGAGGTCTTCCAGGTGATTTTCTGTGATACTGAACCTGTGGCCCTGAAATTTTCAACCCATAGCAGTATCGATTTTCTATCTGGAACAGCATCATTCCAATGTAATATGAAATGAGCACAAAAAGATCTCTAATGTTGCAAATATAGATTCCCCAGTTTTAAAGCCATGATGCTAACTGATGGTATCTGAAAAAATCATGTTGTGCTAAACAATTTTTATCCTCTGAATCTGTCTTACATATTTATATGTCTACCATTCATCCAAGTTTTGAATATTTCAGCCATATATGGTATGGTGCTCCTGCTGTATATTTAGAGTCTTGATAAAATCCAAAGAAGAATCAGAAATATTATTGATCCTGACATTTCAGCTTCAGTCACTTTCCCACTGCCATAATGTAGTTTCCCTGTGTCTTTTCTATAAATACTTTCATGGTAACTGAGCTTTTCACTATGGTACCTAGACTTTATGAATTTAAAGACAGTACTAGATTGATGGCAAGTTCTCATCAATTCACAGTTGAATTCACTAGATGTAACATTCTATTGTTCTTGACCCTTAATATTGTTTCTCTTTTTTCTTATTCTTTCACACTCAGTAACCCCTTGTGTCTTAGTGGTTATATTGCCTTGTATAGGGTGATATGATTGTAAGATATTAGGTAGATGAAGACACCATTGCCACCTGTCTGAGTTCACTAGCTCTGTGCAGGTGACAGCTTAAAATGAGGAGGTATTTCTGCCACACCCTGTAGTATATATGAACAGAAGATGCTTTCTCATTTCAAGAGAGAATATTCAGAAAATAACCTTTACAAATTGTTACAGTCAATAAGGTGCAATTTATTTTGTACTTTCTAAAGGTTTTTAGCTTAAGTTGATGAGATTAACCTCTGCAACAAAGTCTGTCTCTCCAAAAAGAGTAAGAAACTATTTAGGTTTATAGATGTATTTTTAGAGAGACTTCCCCAATATTAAATGATAATCCAAAAGCTTTACAGAAAGTTTACAAAATACACAAAAAGAGAGTGCAGATACAGAAATACGGGGTGTGACAGATATTACCACCCACATATACTTCACCCATAATAAGACATTAGCGGCAATGGTGTCTTCATCTAGATAATGTCTTACCATTATGTGAGAGGTATTTCTGTTGTACTCTGTACTTTTGAGATGAGCAGCAAACTTCACTGTCATCATTGAAGGTGATTCAATTGGTAGAAGTACAGGATGTAGCAGAAATATCTCCCACATATACCTCTGAGAAATAGCTTCTTAATGGTAGGACATTTGTGGCAATGGTGTCTTCATCTAGATAATGTCTTACCATTATGTGAGGGGTATTTCTGTCACACTCTGTACCATGATGTAGGGGTTGGGGAACAACATCCATTACATAGAATAAATAAAATAAAAATGGTTCAGAGAACAAATTAACCAAATCTATCTATATTTCTGAAATGAGGTATTATGTACTGTTGTGTATGATACACCTAATTTACATAAGTGGAGTACCGACCATATAAATATGGGTTGGTACCGGAAGACGAGGGAAGATTAAGAGATCGAATCCAGAGACTCTGCCCGACTGCGACTTAGTCAACCCATTCTGCAGGAACAGTCTTCCCAAGAATATACCAAAACTACCTGTAAATATTGTGTACCTTTTTTCATTGTTTCAATACATTTTGTTACGTACATTTTGTGTTGTATTATTATTATTCCATGCTTATTCAAGCTTCAACAATGGCGACGAGGTATAAAGAACTTTACGTTTAAAAAAAAAAAAGAATTAATAATTGATAGCCTTCAATAATTGGGACAAGTGGAAGAACCCAGGCTGAAAAAAAAAAATCATTAATTAAAAGTCGAACATCTAATGGAACGGAAAAGTATTCTGAAGTTTGGACAGTTAAAACTAGTTAAAGGACGACTAAGCTTAAAGGAACGTTCACTCAGAAAAATCTGGAAGGTGGCGTAAACAAATAACGGTGAAAAAAAAAAAAATGCTGGTCGACTAAAAAAAAAAAAAAAAAAAAAATGCTGGCCGACTAAAAAAAAAAAAAAAAAAAAAAAATGCTGGCCGACTAAAAAAAAAAAAAAATGCTGGCCGACTAAAAAAAACATGCATGGAATTAAAAGGAGCACAAATACCACGTGTCGACTTTGAAAGGTAAGCGAACTTGTAAAAAAAAAAATTTGTTTATTTTTTTTTGTTTGGTTGCTCAACAATATTTTATAAAGCAAGACATAAAATTAAAAAAGGCGTAAGTTGTTTCAATTTTTTTTTTGTCTGCTTATAGTATATTCGTGGATAAACAATTTAAAAGTATATTCTTTGTTGCATGAACACTATCAGCTAAAAATGGAGGAATTATCCAAAGTCATAGCTGAATTGTTTAAAGCCCAGCAGTTGAGTCAAGCTGAATTGTTTAAAGCCCAGCAGTTGAGTCAAGCTGAATTATTCAAATCCCAGCAGTTGAGTCTGCAACAACAAAGTGAACAGGTTGCCTTATTAAGAGAACAACAATTAGCACAGCAGAATTATCAAGAAAGGCAAGAGGAGTTGAGTCAGCAACGTCAAAGGGAACAGGAAGAAATGTATGTCAAGGTTTTGGAAATTCAAAAGTTAACATTGGAGAAATTAAACAACAATCAGGCAAATGAAATTAACTCTTCATATTCTAATAACATCATATTTAATTCGTTGGAAACTTTCAACTATGTGCCAGACGAAGGAAAAACGTTTGAAGCGTACTTTAAACGATATGAAGATATTTTCCACACAGACTGTGAAAACTGGTCGAATTCAAGAAAAGTCAGTCTATTACTAAGAAAGCTAGGTACAGCAGAACATAGCAAATTTGTAGATTTTATTCTACCGAGAAGAACAAATGAATTGGAATTCTCGGAAACAGTGAAATTGCTAAAGGAGTTGTTTGGAGCAAATATGTCGCTTTGGCATAAGCGATGGTTATGCATGAATGTCGCTAAATCCGACGATCAGGATTACTTAACTTATGCATCTATAGTGAATAGACATTGTGACAATTTCAGATTGGCAGAGATTACGGTTGAAGAATTCAAGTGTTTAATTTTTGCTCAAGGTCTGGTATCCAGTAAAAGTGCCGAAATAAGACGTAGAGTTTTGTCTAAACTCGAATCTGAACAAAACCTTACCCAAAAAAAAAAGTTAGCAGAGGAGTGTCAGCGGGCCGTAAGTTTAAAGAAAGAGTCTCAAAAATTGAAGAAGCTGGTATTGCTTATATTAAAAAAGTGAAGAAACAGTCAAATTACCCATCAGAAAAAAAATTGGATTAAAAATTCGGCGTATTTTAAAAATAGAAAAAAAAAAATTAAATGAAAAGAATGAGGAAGGAAAAAAATGGTTCCGCCATTTAATTGTAGACGGTGCAACGAAAAGACATTGGGAGGTAAATTGCCCATATAGAAATAAAAAAATGTTTCGTGTGCCACAAGAATAGTCACAAAGGGTCGTGTTGTAAAAACGAAAAAAGTCAATAGCCGAATTAGTCAAACAAATTCAAATATCAAATCAGATAGAGATTTGAGGAAATATGTGACGACTGAAATATTTAAAAAGAATATCAAATTTCAACTCGATTCGGGTTCAGATTTAACAATAATGAACTATAAAACATGGAAAATTTTAAAAGGCCTACAATAATGAAGTCAACAAAACGCGCTCGAACAGTGACTGGAAAGGAAATTAAATTGAAGGCGAGGTTGTACTTCCCATGAAATTGAACAGGATAGTTAAAAAATAAAAGTTTTCATTCTGAAAAATGGAGAAAACTTGATGGGTACAGATTTTATTGAAACATTGAATTGTGGGATAAACCGTTAAACTCTTTCTGCAGAAAAGTAGAAAGTAATACATAAACAAGACAGGACATTATTGAGGAATTAAAAAAAAAGTTTCCGGAAACTTTCACACCTGGTCTTGGAAGATGTAACAAGTTTGAAGCCAAATTGAATTAAAGGAAAATACTATGCCAAATTTTTTAAAAAGAAACGTAATGTGCCTTTCGCAAGTGTAGAGAAAATTAACGAAGAACTTGATAGGTTGGAAAAAATGGGAATTATTTCGAAAGTAGAATCTAATTCATGGGCTGCGCCGATTGTGTGCATAAAAAGAAATCAAACCAAGTCAGAGTCTGCGTTGATTTTTCGACAGGGTTGAACTCGGTAATTAAGGACTACCATTACCCGTTACCGAGTCCGGAGGAGATTTTTAACAAGCTAAATGGTGGAGTTATATTTTCAAAAATTGACTTATCAGATGCCTATCTCCAAATTCCCGTCGAAGAGGAATGTTCGAAGTTACTAGGGATAAACATGCATAGAGGGTTATTCAAGTACAACAGGCTTCCTTTTGGTATTAAAGTGGCACCTGCCATTTTTCAACAAGCTATGGACGTCATGCTGAATGATTTAGACTTTGCGTGCGCTTACTTAGACGACATCATAGTAAGGAGCTTAATCGGTCGACGAACATCGAGAGCATCTCAATCAAGTATTTAAAAAATTCAGGACTTTGGATTTAAAGTCAAAGAGTCAAAGTGCGAATTTGGTTTGGAGGAAATTAAGTATTTAGGTCACATAATCAACAAAAATGGCAGATGTCCAGATCCGGAAAGGTCCATTGCGATTAGAGACATGCCGACGCCCACTAATGTGGCGATGCTACAAAGTTTTCTAGGGCTTGCAAATTATTATCAAGCGTTCATTAAAGGAATGTACAATTTAAGAGCTCCGTTGAATGAACTGCTAAAAAAAAGACAAGGCATGGGAATGGACGGTAGAATGTCAGAAAGCCTTTGATGAAATAAAGAAAATGCTTACGTCCGACCTCTTTTTAACCCATTACAATCCAAAACTGGATATTGTAGTGGACAAGTGACGCTAGTTCATACGGGATAGGAGTGTATTCAACACATAATGCCAGATGGTTCTAGAAAATCAATTGCACACGCTTCGAGAACTTTGCTCCCAGGAGAAAGAAGTTACTCTCAGATAGAAAAAGAGGCACTGAGTATCATTTTGCCATACAAAAAATTTCACAGGTACATCCACGGCAGACATTTTATCCTTGAAACGGATCATAAACCACTGATCACCATTTTTGGTTCAAAGAAAGGGTTACCCGTTTATACAGCAAATCGTCTGTTAAGATGGGGAACCATTCTTCTCAATTATGATTTTCACATAAAGCACCTATCATCCAAAAAGATAATTCATGCGGATAGTCTATCAAGACTAGTACCGAGGCAAGAAGAAAGAATCGAAGAATCAATTATTGCAAATATCAGAGCAGATTATGAGGTGAAAAGCATGGTAAACAACATTGTAAGAGAGATACCGGTTACGCTAAATGAAATTAAAAAAAGAAGCTGAAAGCGATGATTTCATTTTAGAAATTAAAAGCAAAAATGGTAGCGAATGACCAAAAAGTGCAGGAGATTTATTCAATAGGTGACGGAGTTTTATTATATGGTGAGAGAGTAGTAATACCAAAAAGTTGCAGAAAAGAATACTTGGGACTTTCATATGGGTCACCTGGGGATTAATAGAACAAAAAGCTTAATGCGAAGCTTTGTGTATTGGAAAGGAATGGATGTGGATATCGAAAACATGGTTCATCGATGTAAGGGGTGTGCGTTAGCAGCTAAGGCACCACCTATAGTATACAAACCATGGCCCAAGACGGATCATCCGTGGACAAGATTACACATTGATTTCGCTGGTCCAGTAGAAGATTTTTACTACTTAATAGTGGTAGATAGTTTTACAAAATGGCGGAAGTACTACGCTGTAAAAAGCCTACGTCCAATACCACAACAACTTTTTTTGCATGAACTATTTGCACGGTTCGGTGTGCCAGAGTGTATTGTGAGTGACAATGGTACACAATTCACTTCTGAAGAATTTAAGGAATTTTGTGAGTTATATCAAATTAACCACATAACGACGCCTCCGTATCATCCGAGGTCTAATGGACTCGCAGAAAGATTTGTCGATACTTTAAAAAGCGTGCTCTGAAGAAAGCCTCAGGAGTTCCAACAGAAAAAGGCGCTTCAGCAATTTTACAAGTATACAGAATCACGCCAAACCAGAGAACACATTCAAACATGGCACCAGCTGAACTAATGTTCGCTAGGAAAGTTAAGTCAGTGTTTGACAAGCTTTTGCCAGGAAAAATACAGTAAAAAATACCATGTATACAGCGAGAAAAAGATACACTTCCGGAGAGAAGGTGTTTTTCAAGTGCTATAAAAACAAAGTTGAGTTCTGGGAACGAGGCATAGTGGACAAGAGAATCGGTGACCTGATTTACATAATTAAAGGGCAAGAATACTTATAAAAGGCACCAAAACCAACTTAAAAAAGATTACGGTATAGAGCAAGAAGAGTGTATACCGGATGAGGATGAAGATCCCATTGATATAATGTATGATATGTTTCAGGTAGAACCTCCACAGAATACACCTGAACCAAGAAGATCCGGTAGGAAACGGAAGTTGACGGACCCATTGAACGTGAATCCAAAACGAAAAAAATATTAAAATTAGGCAAATGGATCTACAAAGAAATAGCCATAATCATCAACCCATATAGGAAGCCAATTTGAAATCCAAAAGGGATTCCAAGGCTTGGGAGGAGGGTGTTGTGTATGATACACCTAATTTACATAAGTGGAGTACCGACCATATAAATATGGGTTGGTACCAGAAGACGAGGGAAGATTAAGAGATCGAATCCAGAGACTCTGCCCGACTGCGACTTAGTCAACCCATTCTGCAGGAACAGTCTTCCCAAGAATATACCAAAACTACCTGTAAATATTGTGTACCTTTTTTCATTGTTTCAATACATTTTGTTACGTACATTTTGTGTTGTATTATTATTATTCCATGCTTATTCAAGCTTCAACATGTACATTATTATTCGGACTATTGTCCTCATCTTTGTCGCCATATTTATTACAACGTTTCGGCCTTCTTCAGGTGGTTGGAATGTTGAACTGAACCCTTTATTTCGCTTACCTCACTGAGGTAGACTGTTCTAATTCCACGTACCATGTCTAGTGGATGTCAGTTATCAGTTATCTTCTGCTTAATTCCCTCTGAAAGTTCTCCACTGCCTTAACCGGGTATTGAACTCACACTCTTTGGGTCCTGTCACTGGATCTTAGTTAGATAACTAACGCCTTTATCCACTGTGACATGTGTCCTTGAATTAACCAAAATAAGCAATTTGGATACTTTGAAAAGAAATGGAAAAAGGCTCAGGTGTTGTTGGTACTTTATTTCCAGTAGTTCTGTGGTTTGGATTGAATCAATAAAAAATTTGTCTGGTCACACTGAAATCTTTCAAAATGATTACCTGTAGCAATAGTAAAATTTGTATAAGAATATGGAATAGTTTACATAATTGGCCTTGACTTCACATTTTTCATGGGCACTGATCATTTAAGCATTCCATACAACAAACAAATCTACCAACAGAAGACAACAATTATGCTTTCCCTCCCAAGGCCAATGTACTAATGATGATGGGGAGGGCTATGTTGATGACATTGGTATTTGAAGTTGGGATAAGAATGATCTTGAGCAGAATATCAACATCCTTGACCAAGTGTTCCAAGAAATAGGACTCAAGATAATCCTTTCACAAACAGAAACTATGATTTGGAATTAGAATGAAAGCAGTGATGGGCAAACCAATTAAAAAAGAATATCTAAACTGTCAGCTGTATATAACCACTTTTTTAGATCAATGGTTAAAAATAGCTTTGTGCGAGTGAATCCTGAGAGATTTGGCAAAGATCATCATCCTTTGGACATTGTGGACTGGTACTACAGTACCACAAAGAAAGAGTTGTACTAAATAATAAAAACCTCACATGAATTTAGGACTACCAACAGCAGTAACAACTAAAATGGATGGCACTTGTAACTTGGAGAAAATAATTACATAATCAATATAATCAAATAAAATGTTTGGAAGGGAACCCTCCATGAATACTGGTAAGGGCAATAACAGAAACTGAACTTGAAAAACCCATTTTCTTGAAAATTTGTTTTAATAGAAAGATTTTAGAAATTTCAACTGAAAGCATTTCTGCTTGCTCTATCAGTGAATAGTAAATATTGTCTTAAAAATTTGTTTTCAAAACAGTATTTCAATTTTGGGGAAAATTTTTCATGTGTTGGAATCTTTAAACATTTTTATTTTTTAAGTGATCATTTTCTCATTTTTATCTTTCTAAAAAATAGTGACTAGAAATTTATTTTAATTACTAGGCGTGGACTTCTGGTTAGTATTACTATTAATAAAAAAAACAAAAAAATCAGAGATCCTTCTTAGTGGATGATCTCAAAAAATAAAAAAATAATTTTACTGAGATATATTACCCTCTTAAGTGATTTAAAAGAAGTGTTCAGAAAGAAAATTACAATTTAAAAAAATAAGCACTACTGAAATTAGCACTTCTATCCCCACCCACACATACATGTACTTTCCAGGAGGCATATGGCCCCCATGTGGTTGAGAGGTTCATGGTAGTAAGTACTGGCTTTGTCGATTATTATAATTGATGATTGACAATATAACTAAATAGAAAAAAGTACAAAAAGCAAAAAAAACGCTGTTGAAACTAGCCTTTTTGGAGCGTCAACCTTATCGAAGGTTCTTGCATAGTATGCACTACATCAGCCATGCAGATACACAACATATATTATTAGTTGATGACTGACAATGTAATGTCAGTTTAAAAATAATTTTAAAAAATGGTGGATGGCCATAAAATGGTAGAAGTCACAACAGGGCCCAAATCAGTTTACTGCTGGAATGTTCAATTTATTAGAATTAATGTAAAGTTAGATTTATTTGTTTAAGAAATCCTGTCTATGATAACACAGATTAGCTAGTTTAAAAATAAAGTTTTAAAGCATTGACTCTTGTAACAGGCTATGACTGAAATCCAGATATTCCCTAAGTTTAAATACCTAGTATATTTAATACAATGATAAAAAAAGATGTTTCCTCATTTCAGAAGAATATACTTAAGTATTGAATGTTTTTCTGGTAGTAACAATTAGTCATAATTTTTATTTACTCTAAAATTGATTGACTAAAATTTTAAATTTTTTCTAGGCTCTTTTCTCATTTTAAAATATTTTTTCTGAGGATTTTGAATTAAAAATAAAAAATTTAACGATTACAATTTTTTTTTTGGTATGGATTTATCAGATCTTATTGAAGTAATTTGAATATAATAAATTTTGTAAAGAAATGTAAATTGTGAAAAATAAACTTTTTTTTTTTTTAAATTAAAAAAATTATCTTTGTAGAATGGATTCATCAAAGCATTTTCTGAAAGTCCTTCCTCTTTTACCTCCGGATTTGCCCATGTCGAAAAAGTGATGAAGAATCTTTTTGTTCGAAAACTCTTCCTCTGGCCACGGTTCCATGCTAGTGTAGCTGAATGCTTGGACCGTCATAAGGTAAATGCTTTTTGGTTGTCTCTCTCTCTCTTTCCCAGTTTTACAATAATGTTTTTCCTTTTATAACATCATAAATATAACTGATATTGTGACTTTTGAAGTATAAGAGAGATATCATTTTTAAATTGAGTAAGTTGTGTGAATCTAAATTCTAAATTTAGATTCAACATTTGATTATACTGGATGTTTCATAATTACAATATTTGAATAGGTTGTGACTAACAAGTTTGTTCCATGACCACTATTTTAGTAAACTGGTCTGCTTGTGAAAAAAAATGGGAAAAATTTTTGGGGAATAATTTTTGTAGATTAGCATTCATTAGACCTTCCGTTACCCACATTTGTCAGAATTGAAAAATGCAGATATCAATGATGTAAGCACAGTTTTAGAATTGACATTTGTAAATAAAAACAAAGTACAGATAATTCTTAAAGAAGTCAGGGATCAATTTGACAAACAGAACTTCCCCTTCTAAAATGATTAAAAAAAAATCAGAATTTTGCATTCTGACAAATACCATGACTTGAGGAAATTTTATTGAATTTTTTTTTACCTGTGTCTTTCTTTCTCATTCAGTGCATCTCTATTTTCTATGATGGTCTTAACAGATTTCACTCTTTCTCTTTATCATATTCTCCCAAAGCACACTACACACACACACACACACACACATATATATATATATATATATATATATATATATATATGTATGTATGGTGGACTCTCCTATCTTACGAAGGTCAAGCAGCTTAGTTCCTAGGAACCGTCAGCCCAGACACCATCACATATGATTTGATTATAGTGGTGAAGGCTTTGTAAAGAAACAACCAAACTTTTTGAAGGGCTGAACACATAGACCTGGTGCACTACATGCCACAAGGTCCCCAAATGACCCTCCACAAGTTTTGAATTCAGGGTTTTCCTTCCCCTAGATCAGTTGCCATCCAAGGCTATAGAACCCAGTCTGTACTGCTATTATATTTTATTTTTATTTTTTACACGCATGTATTTTATACTACTGTTCCCTGGTCCGATTCAACCCTGACCATTAACCTATATATATATATATATATATACACATAATTACCATTCTTTAAAGCAGATTCAGGATGGAATCCTGAAGCTGACTTAAAGATGGCAAAAGGTAGTGAAACAAAATGCCTGCTATGTGGTTATATAAATCAATGAACAAATATTGTAATCTTGTCTTTAAAATCCACTTAAAATAAGTTACAGAATTTTTGTTCCAATCAAATATGGGAAGATAGCACTATGAACAGTTCAGCTAATTACAAAGGTAGCTATAAACAAGCATATTTAACAATACAATATTTGATCATTCTTGACAGATCTATTACCACATTGTTGAATATTTAATAACAAAAGTGATGTAAGCAGAAAGAAAAAGAATCTAAATTAAATAAGCTAAATTATATATTTATATACCCAAAAAATTTCCACTATCTTTCATTCGTGCACATGTGTAGTCATATAAACATAAACTTAGTTCGATGAAGTCCCAAAAGATGAAACACATCACACAAAAACTTTTTCTGCTTGGTAATACATCTTGCCCTTAAAATTGTTCTTGGTATATAAAATTATAAAGTTATATATCGTTATCATATATATATATATATATATATATATATATATATATATATATATATACACACACAAATACGAGGTTAGTATAGATGGAATAAACTTCCAGTAACCAAAAAACACTATTTTTTAAAAAAGTGATCAATACAGAGTAGAGTGGATAATATTTATTTAAAATTATAACAAGTATGTTATAACATCACTACAAAAAATAGTCATTTTGTTTCAACATTTCTGGTGTCTTGTCAAGTGATGGTGTTGCATGACAAGACACCAGGAGTGTTGAGACAAAATGGCTATTTTTGTAGTGATGTTATAACATATTTATGTTATAATTTTTAAATAAATATTATCATATATATATATATATATATATATATATATATATATATATATGGTAATATTTATTTAAAAATTATACCTTATATATATATATATATATATAATGTAGATATTCTTGTTGATTGAAAGTCCTATTGATAACATAAGCTAATAGGAAGGCTATGTTTTTGTCATTGTTATGAACAGGGCATCAAACTAAAACAGTGCTACTTAAACTATGGGTCGTGATCCGAAATGCTGGGTTCATGAATATTAAATCCAAACTCTTGAATTTCACTTTGTGTTATTTCACAAACACACAGTATTTAATGTGATATGCCACACAAGTGCTGCAGTAATAAAACATGCATGTGGCACCATTGTGACTAGTGCAGTGACAATGTATGTATTTTCAGTGTAGTTGGTTAATGCCTGGAGTTGTGAAAAATCTCATGATGAAAAAAGGGGTCATGAATGAAGTTAGTTTAAGAAGCGCTGAACTAAAATATGGCTTAAATTATTGAAAAAAATTTAGTCAGTAAGGAGGACAATTGATAATCAGCTGCATCTTTAATCCAGAGAAATAAACACTCTTGTTAATTTACAGGTGTGTGTGTATATATATATATATATATATAAAGATGAGGAGGAGACAATGATAATGAAGTCTTTCTTTCAAAACATCAGCCAGGTGATAGAAAGTGCTTCGAGGTGAGGACCAATACCAAGGAGAAATGAGAATTTGGGGGAAACTGCAATCATGAAATGCAGCAATTGCTACTTAAATATTTCTAGGGAAGGCAGCAGTAACTTGTGTTTAAGAGGACAGGATTAGAGTGATGTTTTATTCGTGGGGTAGAGAGAAAAAAAAACTTTCTTCCTGTCAATCATCTTAATATTTTTTCTCTCTTTAGGTGGAAGTCATTGAAATGCATATACAGATGTCAAGTGCCATGTCTTCATGTCAGACAGCTCTCCTTGATTTGATCAATGCTTGTATCATGGAGCTGAAAAGGTGCACATCAGCTGTGAGTAAATTCATATCATCATCATCATCATCATTATTATTATTTTCTTTATTTTCATTATCTTTATCCTGTTCTTCATCTTCTCTTTTTTATTTTATTTTTTATTACAACACTCTGGGTTGATTAGTTTTCATTACCAGAGCAAAGCGTACAAAGTCATAATAGAGTTTCTAAAAAATATAAAAATATATTTAAAAAATAAATAAAATGATTAAAAAAACAAAAATTTTATATAATAGAAATTTAATTTTTGAAAAGAGATATAACATTATGAAGACATACTTTTCCAATGTGAGCTGGATCTACTATATATAAACTGCAGTTGACTAGTCAGGATCATAGTGTCATAGGAAGCACCACAATTCTTTCAGCAAATTTGGACCTTTGTGCTCACAAAAAACAATGTCAAAAGGATGGTTTTCCCATGACAGTGATTTTAACTACCTTCACTCCTTGGCAATGTTTATTGTTTTAAAAAGCAGTGATTAAAATTGTAATAAAACCTAAACATATGAAAGTGAATTTATACATTTTCTTTGTTCTTGAGAATTGACAACATAAATAATAAACACTATTTATTGATGATATTTTTTATTTAGACATTTGTTTATTGAATTGTTGGCAAAACATCAGCTAATTGCCAATTGATTTGAACTTTATCAAATGGTAAATAATAAGGATTTCCTTATAATTGCCTCACATATTTTAATGATTTAGTAAATATTTACAAATTTATAAGTAAAAACATTCATATTTATTTCTTTATAAATTGGTAAATGATAAATATTGCATTGCTTTAATTGTATTAGTTTTTAGAATGTTGTAAATATAAAATTATTCTTGTAACGTCTTTAAAATTTTTGTTGTAAATTCTCAAGAACAAAAAATGTATAAATTCACTTTCATCATATGTTTAGGTTTTATTACAATTACTAATCATTGGTTTTTGAAACAAACTTTGCTGAGGAGTGAAGATAGTTAAAATAGTAGTAGTATCAAGGGAAAAAACATACTTTTGACTTTTTTCTTGCAATCAAAAATGTTCAAATTTGCCATTATTTCATTAGCTGCATATAGTATGTGCTTTGCCAGCACTGTATACAGTTTTTGAATTCAAAGTTTTCCTTCTCTTATGCTGCCTATTACACCACCGCCCATCCATTTTAGGTGTGTGGGTAGTGTGAAGAAATAACGGATTGGAATAAGAAATCAGAATTTCAATTCCAGTTGAGTGTATTACATTCACTTACACATGAATATCCTTGGGGAAAAGTATGAATTCACCTCTTTGCCTCCTCCCCCAGCTATGGGTGAAATAGTAGAATAGACTGGGCTTTCAGCTTTAATTGGCAGCCAGTATAGGAGAAAGACAACTTCCAAATCAAAATCGTATTTAGCCCTGGCAAAGCACATACTATGCAGCTAAAGAAAGGATCATAAATTTTACAATGATTTGATGAAACCGAATACAGTCAGCCTCCTATTTTTTATTCATTTTTTTTTTTTCAGTTGGATCTTGAAGAGGTGTCTGTAGAGAACACAATTGGAAGATCTTTTGATCTGATTGTTAGACAACAACTTGACCCAATATGGCATCAGCTAAATAGCAAAACCAAACAACTTGTATCAGATTTGAAAACATTGCGTACAATCGCCTGGTAAGTAAATAAACTGAAGTAAAGGTAAAGTAAAATAGTACTGTTCAGTTAGTTACAGAAAGTTCTGTCATCCAATCATTTTTGAAACCAACAAAGATTTTATTAAAAAGGTCTCATTGTACTTTATTTTTAGCTTGTGTTTCTTTCAATCCACAGTACAGGTCAACCTTCACTCATTTGACTATATTTGGCAAAAATTTGTTCAGAAGGTTTTTTTTTTTTCAAAAATTAACTATGTATTGCTAACCATTTATCATACAACTGAGTTGGTAGCAGTTTAAGCTTTAAGATGATTTATAACATCTGATAATGGGAATTGAACCTGTATTAGAATTAGCTAATGGATTGTATCATGATTCTAAGTCAGTTTTGTTAATTTCAGTTTGATTTTTCTTTCCAGCCACCTTACTCAATATGACTGCGTTACATTCTACAGTCTAGTCAATTCCATCAGGTAAAATATTTATAATGAACATTTTTTTTTTTTTACTTTGTTTTTTAACACATTTAATTTTTGGGGGTTTGATCTTCTATGCATATCTCTATATACATATATACCTACCTACATACATACATACATTCATACATACATATATATATATATATATATATATATACCCAAGTATAGGATTGGTGTATACGGAATAATTTCCAACAACCAACAAACACTATTCTTAAAAGTGTGCTCAATACAGAGTAGAGCAAATATAATTATTTATTCAAAAATTCTAACATAAATATGTTATAAAATCACTGCAAAAATAACCATTTTGTTTCAACACTTCTGGTGTCTTATCAAGTGATGGTGTTGAATGTAGAATAAAAGGTTTTAAAAGGTTCAAATCAATCAAACACCCCTCACTATAATGGAAACACTGTTACATGAGCTGGAATGACCAATCAAAATACAAGTATACGAGAATTCAAAAAACTTGACAATGAACTAAGGTTATAATAATTATTTAATGCTTTAATGTTGGGGTTGGACTAAAATAGAATTTATTCTAACAAATAAATATTAAATTATACGATAAAATTTGAAATTACAAATTAAAATTTACCCATTTTAAAATTTAGATTTAATCTATATTAAGTTTAAAATTATAAAAAAGAAAAAATAACTATGTTATTCTATTTATTTTGTTTTTATTGAAATTAAGTTGGAATAAATGTTAAGATCAAATGTTGTTCTGAACTTCATGACAACATAGATACATTTGAATCATAAACAGAGGCAGGGGAGGATGCCATCTCACAAACAACAATACATACACAATCAGATTATAATACATAATGCGGGCATACATTTCTTATTACTATAAAGGTTATTTTTATTGAGTTTGTCTAAAGAAGTGGTTTCCTTGATAGAAAAGGGGGTTACAGATTCAATTACAGGTGGTGGTGGGGTTCATATTTTTCTTTAGTAAAGATTTTCAATTTATAACCTGTTTAGCATTAATTTCACTGTTTAAAATAAAACAGATGTCAACTGAAGCACATGTACCCACTAAAAATAATGTTTATAATAATAAGAATTAATTTTGGATTAAAGATTATATACATAGTGTATATATATATATATATATATTTCTTCAGGTAAATTGGGGGGGGGCTGCAGATTCTTAGTTCTCTTAAAATCCTATAATTAAGGTTTTATTCTACTACAGTGGTGAGAATAATAGTTTATGAAGTCATTCTTGTTGGTAGATTTTTTGTGACTATTCAATGTTGTTATTGGTTTTATTTAGCATGATATCTAGAAAAGCTGTGATATTAGTTTCAGTTTCAAAAGTGAAATCTGTTATCAGTTCAACGCCATTAAGTTTATTTATAAGGTCAGGTAAAATTGTGTCATGTGGATATATTATTAAAGTATCATATATGTATCTAAAATAAGAATTTTGTATTAAAGTATTTTTGAAATGGCACTTTCTAGAAACTTTAAAAACAGAAAAGCTAAAACACCAGGGAACCATTTAAACCAAATTTTTGTTTATAAAAAAATTATCAAAGGTGAAAAAAAAAATTAATTAGTAATTAATTGACAAATGTTTATGATTTTATGTGTGGGGAAACATAATTTAATTTTTGTTTATGTTAAATGTGCTTTTAGTAAATTTAGGTATTTGTTTCTGGATCATTTGTATATAAAGATTTTATATCAAAACTGACCATATATTTGTCTTTTATATGTGTTTTTTAGTATTAAAATCTCCAGTTTTTTTATGCATTGGATTACTGCCCTTTGATGATAATCAAAGGCAGCGAAATATTGAATTACTGTCCCCTGACAATAATCATAGGTAGTGAAAGATTTGAAGGCTTCTTCCTCTTTCCTTTTTGGCTTTGTGAGTGACAAGACGTCACTTCTCACTGTTGGCATGTAAGTACCTCAGAGACACATACTGAAAGTTGCTTTGAACTTTTAACAACTTTAACGTCATTTCTCATTTTCCTTTTTGTAATATGTCTGTTTTATATATTTATTAATGCTTGGTTGTTAAATTACATATTCTTGTATCTTATTTTTGTCCAGACTCACATGAGTTTGTCAATATTGTTTACAAGACAAATGTAGCAAGATCCCATAAATATTTATTAAAAAAAATGTCCACACTTCACAACAAAAGTGGTGAGTCCCACAACAAAATGGTGGCTGAACAACATGATATTCTTGATATATATTATTTAAAAAAAAAAAGAAAAAAAAAGACACTTTGAAAAAGGACATTACACTTGTCCCAGACATTTGTTTTTTTTTTGTTTATTTCAAAGCAACCTTCAGTAGGTGTCTCTGAAGTACTTACCTGCCAACAGAGTGAGAAGAGACAAAGTAAGGAAGAAGGTTTCAAATCTTGCGCCGTCTGTGATTATCATCAACAGACAATAATCCAACATAGACAAGGAGTTAATTGTGCCAAGTATATCCTCTCTATTACTACATATGTATTTTATATGTTTTCTTTCATCTCTTGTTACTTTTTATCACATTTTTTACTGATCTTTTCTTTAGATATTAAACATTGTTCATAATGAAAGTACTTCATTTCAGAATCTCCAATGACAAACAACCTGAGTTTATTACTTATATTACTTCTTATTAACCCTTTAGACTCCCCATGAAGTACAGAGCCACAGACTCACCACACAATGTGTTGCTGCTGTGTTTTCCTGTAGTAAGTAGGTTATGATATGGTGAAGTTGTTAGCACCCCCACCCAACTGGTTTTGAACTCAGTTTTTCTTCTCTTATACTGCTAACCAACCAAGACTAGAGAGCTCATTCAGTCTTGCTATTTGACTCATAGCTGGTGGGTGATGAGGGTATTTGTGTGAAAGGGAATGCAATGGCTATGACTGGAGTTCTCTCAGCACACCACTAACTACTATGCTACATCTATTATTATTATTAATTGGTATTGAAAAATACAGTTTGAAATAGTCAGATGTATGTGGTGGTTGCAAATAAACTACTGATCAGAATCTTGCTTGATCCTGACATTTGTTGTAATCTATCAATGTTCATGAAAACCAAGTGATATGTTAGGAGATGTAAGTTCAAGTTGGCTTATGACCACATCATGTAGAAACACTGGTTTCTTACAATCTAAAAATATTTTTTAGCTTTAAATAATTTGGAAAGAATTGATAAGCTGTAAAAAATGAATCAGTCTTAATAATTTTATTCTAAATTCATAGAATTGCTGAAGAATTGTTTGTCTAAAAAAAATAAGAAAAAATAAATGAAGAGGAAAATTGTTAATCTAATCTCTAAACATTTTCAAACTTTTTTTTCCCCCCCTCTTCTATGATCCACAAAAAAGATCTAGTGAAAAGGCATTTAGCTCGAACTCCGGTTGGCTTTTTCTCGATTCTGCTGACAGTCTAATTGTGGTAAGTGTCTTTTTTCCTATTATTATTAGTATTCTTTTTTCATTTATTTTCCTTCATTCCTTCACACATGCACTGCATGCAAAAAAAATTCTTTAAAATTTTAAAACTCAAAAATTTAATTCCCTCATTTTCAGGACTTTCCCTGGGTAATTAATTATAACTTACACTTGCATTTATATTTTCCTCTTCACCCTACACATATATAATTCTATCAATAAAAACATTACTTTAATCTGAAGTTAATCTATAAGACAAAATTTGTTAAACAGATTTTTTTCACTTTGTCATTCAGTTGCCTAACATTGTCCTGATGTATAAAAATTTAATTATTACATTCTCACCCCACCCCCAACTGACACACATACAAAAGACAAACTAATAAAATTGATCGATTTTGCTGATTTCATAACTTTCAATAATCGAATAACCAAACAACCATGTTGATTCCTGTGTAAAATAAAGTAGCATATGTAAGTATCTGCCTACAATTTGTCATCTTTTACTTCCTAATTGCATCAATTTTCTTTTCTATTTCAGAATTCTAGATTGAGATTATATAAGGTGCATGAAAAGACTGTCAAAAAGCTATCTACAAAAAGTGAACAAAAGAACAAAAGTGATGGTAATAAAAAGTATTTTCTCTTATAATTTTTGTGCATTTAAATTGTGTAAAACAATTTTAACGTACCTTGTTACCTCCCTTTGACATTTTTAAAACCTATTTTCAGTTAATACTGTATTTCAATTTGACTTCTTAATTGAATAGAAAATTTTCGGTCCATCATTAAAAGAAATACGTGCGATAAATAGAATTTGAGAGCCAAGTTTAAATTTCAGGCTAGAATGTTGCATTTACTTTTACACAGATGTACCTGTAAAAGACATGAATCTGTCTTTTCTCCCCCACCAACAACTATTATGGATTAATTAGCAAGGTAGATTAGGCTCTCTAACCTTTGATGACAAAGAAGAAAAAATTGAAATCATGGATAAGGCAATGATAAATCACTCTGCTATCTTTCCCAAGAATGGATGCCAATTCACAAATAATAAAAGTAGTGGTGGAAGAGCCAGGGTGTTGGCTTGCCTGACAGCAAGTGGGCCTCCTATATCAAATCAAAATGCAATAAAGAAACAAACACTAACAACTGTTTTAGTAATATAAAAAAATAAGAACTTTATAAAGTCATCTGCACATTATCAGTTACTCAAATCCAATATGAAAGGACATTTTATCTCTGGGGAGAATTTGGAATCATACATGTTGTTATCCATTGAAAAAGAATTGTTAGAGGAATTGGATGCAGAAGCAATTATTGCTAGATTTGTACAATCATCTAGTGAATGCAAGTGATTGCTCTTAGTATAGTTTGTTCATTTGTTGGTGGAATTTGATGCTGCACGTTGGGGTACTCATTGATATTTCCTTCTGTGTGAAATCAGTTCTATGTTTGACCTGAAGAGATATCTGCAGCCATTGCATGGTAGGGTAGAAGGGTTCAGAGGATGGAGAGTTCTAAGAAGAAATGTCTTTGAGTATGAAAGCCTTAGCTGCGAATTGTTTGAGGTGGTTCATGGGTTGCCACTCCATGCTACTCACACTTTGGCTGATACCATCTACAGCAGTAATATAGTAAACTGCATGCAAAGCTCTATTGTGCTTTTCAACTATTTGTTAATGTGTAAATTGTGCATAAACTATTTAAAAATATCAATCAATTACTTAAAATTAAAAAATAAATAGAAAATTCAATTATAAAATTCTGTATTTACATCTGTTATGTACTGCCAGTAACGTATACAATATGTGTACACTGTAATTACTAAGAAATAAACAGTTTTTTCCACAAAAATTTTAATTTTACCCTTTTTTTCCACATCTATTCTTTTTTTAATTTTATTTATTCATTATGAAAATTAGTTATGTACTTGTGGGTGGATCCCTTTTGTCTCCTGGCAATTCAGTCTACCACTGAATAAAGGAATTTGTGGTTATAATTGCCTATGTTATGAAAGGACATGGCGTTAAAAAAAAATTATGAAAATGGAAAAAAAAAAAACTAGTTTGTAGAAAATGTCAAATTTTATTATACAAATTAAGTGCGAAATAAATATCTGTCTATATTTCTGGCCATTTTGATTAATTTTACTGAAAAAAAACTATTCTGATCAATATAATTTCTGTTTGAAATATGCCACAGAGTATTTTGTGTAACAGAGAATCTCATAAAAGACTCTGAGTTGGTTATATGTGGTGCTGTAAGCACCAAGAGTTATGTCCTCTTCCACAATAGTCTGTTGAGAAAAGACCTTCTACTTAGAGTAGGTGGCACTGTTTGCATATGAATGATACCGGGCAGGTATTAGCCAATAGTCAGCATGGGTCTAGGACTGGGAGGGCGATATAACACCAGGTTTTTCTCCGTTGAGAGAGGCGCTTTCAATGTGTGAAAACCAGACAAGGTGAACGCATTTTGCTTGCTGAAAATAGTAAATTTTAAATCCTTTAGTTTTCAATTAAAGCTAAGATAAAAACTTCAAGAAAGCTTTAAAAATTCATTTTAAACATTATGTATACTGAATTAGTAGAAGTACCTATATAAGTATCCATCAAAAATTTTGCCTACATTGGTTGGCTAGGACCAATTTTGAAAAAATTAACTTGTACAATAAAATCTGATATCATGCAAATAATGGTAATATTTAAATCCTTTTCTTATGTTTTCTTTTTTATGCATACTTTAATAATGTATTTGCTATTTGCTTAGCAGGACAGTGCAAATTATATGGATTTATTAATAAATATTGTAATGCTGCACTCCACTCTGTATTTTTCAGCCCATGACCATTCCCAGATAGTTATATAAGAGACAAAGGCTTTCTTAAAAATACTGAAATGTCCTCAACAGATCATTAGGTCTTGAAATATGATTTAACCCCTCAACTGCTTTTATCTAAGATGCTTCCTTCCTCTCTCACTGTTGGACTCTCTTTTTGTCTCTCTACATATATACCCCCCACCTTTATCTCGTTGTTTTTCTCTCTATGTCCCATTATTATTATTCTCATTCTGCTGTCCATATCTAGGGATATTTAGCAGTACTAAATAAGAACTCAATGAGATATCCTGAGACAGGAGCAGTGGAACAAGGACACTCTACTCTTGTAGATTAAATAAAGGGTTCAATTTGAAATTCCTTGTAGTCTATTCAGATTGACTGAGTGAGGCTGGAGGACACAACAACCAAAATGTTGTGATAACAATAACAAAGATGTGGACAATAGTCCACATATAAATAATTTGCTTATAGGTAAATTATAAAAATGACAGTTTTGTCTTCTCTGGAAAATTTGAACCAATCATTTTTGCCTAATTCTATTTACTGCTTCAGATGTTTTGCCTTGCCTGGAAGAGCCTCCAAAATGGACAGCTCTTTCAGAGATTCTAGCAGAGATCAAGGAAGAAAATAGCAAGCCTGATCCTGAATTTGGAACTGGACGTGTACTTATTGTGGCAGAGGATGACCGAACATGTAACCAACTAAAAGAGGTGACTCCTTTCCCTTTCCTTTCCAACAAAATGATTTAATGCTTTCAGCTGTTAGTACAGCTGAAATAGAAAATAGAAAAACTGCCTGGGGAAAATTTGATGAAAATCATTCTGAATTTTTTTTTTTTTTTTTTTTTTTTTAAGATATCTTCCAATTTCTGTATTTAGGAACACTTGAAATGTATAGATTTGAAAGTGAATGATGAATTATTTTAAATTTTTGTTAGTCACAAGAGAATTGTATTAGTTGCAATTTTCCTTCTTTTTTTTCTTTCTTTTTAAAGGTTCTATATATTTTGTTTCTTCATCATGCATGAAATTTCAGATATATAAATTCATATATATCTAAGTTGTCAAGAAATGTTATTTTTAAATATAATAATGTTTAAAAGATGATTCATATACAGATTTTTTTCATAAGTCACAAAGTCTGTTCTCTACATATATTCTTTATTCATTTACAGATCTTCAAGCATTTTGTAAGTTTCAACATTAATTGCTTTCATGACAAAGCACTGAAGACCATAGAAATATTGACTTTTGATGCAGGGGTATAAATTGTACAAGTTGATACTTTAATTAAACCATACCTTACAGAATAAGTTTTAGCAATTTAAAAAACAATAAAAGTTGCTAAATAATAATTCAAAAGATTTAGTTGGGATAATTTAAATCTATCATTTCAAATGTTTCTATGCAGTGTACAGTGTTATATCTGCTTTATAAATGTCAATATTAAATTAAAAAAATTATAAAATATATAATTTTTTGTTTTTTTTATTAAAGATTTATTTTTCTTTCCAGTTTTTATGTGAAGGAGCACAAAATGTCTTAGCAAGTCTGTTTAACAAACATTTGGTGGCCAAAGGTGAAAAATACATTGAAATAGAGGTAATAAAAAAAAAACATTTTCTTTCATTAATATCTTTTTTTAATGTAGTAATTTTTTTTTATTTTGTTGAGCTAGCTTAGGCATTTATCAGTCTATGTCGGTCTTGCATCAAGGTCATTAGGGTGGCATTCTGTGTGATAACATAGCTGGTCAATGTAGGTGGTTGCTTGGCAACCAACTTGTCTTGCTCTCTATGGCTAGGTGTCAGGACATGGACATTCATGGCTCTACATGACTTCCTAACCCCAGTGGCTCTTAGAAGTTTTTCTACTTTGGTCAAGGCTCCCACTACCATTTCACCATCAATTCACACAAGCTTGTCAGGCTTGCCATCTTCCACTATTTCTCTTGCCCTCAATATGCCCTGTGATTAAGTTTTCCAATCCATCCTCATTTTGTCCAACAAATGTCAGCCATCTCTTCTAGATTCTGAGCATAAGTGTTCTTTTTGTTGCCATTTTCTTAAAGACATACTCATTGCTTATTCGCTCTGTGTATGTAGTTCTCAATATCCTTCTGTAGAACTACATTTCTGTTGCCTTCAGTTTTCTCTTTTTCAGTGGGGAGATTTTCTAGCATTCTCTGCCATGTAAGAAGATGGATATCAAATAGCAATTATGTGCTCTTTTCTTTGTTTCTAATGAAAGTTTTCTGTTTCTCAGCACTTTGCTTAGCTTTTGGAAGGCACCTTCCACTAGTCCAATGCGTGTTCAGATTTCGGTGTCACATTTTCCATCCTCTGTTAAGAGACTCCCAAGATCTTTCAATACATACGTGAACATTCTTTCTCAAAGTTCCCAATAGAAAGAGCAAAACACTTGTGGAAAATAATATTAATTAAATGACATTTCCTAAGGCTCTTTCACCACCCTCATTCTGCCATCTGTTCACACAAGCTCCTCAGTTAAGTGGCTTGCTGACTTCCCTTATCTCCTTGCCTTTAATATGCCCTGTGATGATTAAATTTTTTAAGTCCTCCTTATGGGTCCAAGGAAGTTCAGATATCTCTTCCTGATTCTGAGCTTGTGTTCTCTTTATTTTTTTGTGGTTGATGATTAGTCCTTTTTTCTTGCTTTCTTTTATTACCCTGTCTTAGAGGTCAGCTATCAACAAAGTGTCATCTGTGTATCTTATATATGTAGATGACAATCATAACATTTTCTAAGGCTCTTTTATCACCACTGTTCCGCTATCCATTCGCACAAACATCTCAGGTAGCTGACTTACACTATCTCTCTTGCCTTTAATATGCTCTGTGATGATTAAATTTTTTAAGTCCTCCTTATGGGTCTAAGGAAGTTCAGCTATCTTTTCCTGATTGTGTTCTTTTTTTTTTTCTTGTGGTCAGTGATTAGTCCTTTTTTCTTGCTTTCTTTTATTATCCTGTGTTAGAGGTCAGCCATCAACACAGTGTCATCTGTATATCTTATATATACAGATGACAATCATATACAATCATAGATCTTGGTAGGGTCTCTAGCTCCTTAGGATAGCTCTCTATAAAGGTTGAATAAATCTGGGGAGGACACAGTCTTGTCTTATGCCACTTTCTATTTTTTATAATTATTCAATTCATTTTCTATCCATATGCAGGTAATTTGTTCTCCATATAAGTTCTGGATTATTCTAACACCTTTCCAAATAGATATATTTTTCCTCAAAGTTCAAACATATCCTTGTGCCATACATTGTTAAATGCTTTTGTGTAATCTATAAAAAATAAGTGCACATCCTTCTGCATTTATATTGTGCTCTCTGATAACATTTCATTCTATAATTTCTAATTACCATTAGTAGAGACTGTTGACTGAATTTACACTGAAATAAAATTCCAAGTATTCATTTTTTTTAATGCTATATGTCTCTTCATGAAAGTAAAATTTCATTAGAAACAAAGAAAAGAGCACAGAACTATTATCAGACATCTTATATGGCAGTGAATGCTGGACAATCTCCTCACAGATGAAGAAGAGAAATGTGGTTCTCTAGAAGGATACTGAGAATAACTGAGTACTGAACATGTGAGCAATGATGAAGTTTTTGAGAAAATGGAAACAAAAAGAACACTTATACTTTGCATCAGAAAGAGATAGGTGAAATTTCTAGGACATATAATGAAGAAAGAGGGCTTAGAAAATTTAACCCACATGACATATAAAAGGCAAGAGGAACATAGAAAAAAACATAACCTATTTGAAACACTTGTGTAAATGGTTGGTTGAACAGTTTAGGAGAGATAGCAAAAAGGCAAAATTTACTAAGAGCTACAAAGGACAGGAAATTGTCAAGATCCATGATTGCCAACATTCTGAAGGAACATGTCACATAGAACAATAATTATAATAATCAGTCCGTTTATGTCATTGATGATCACAGCTCTCTACAAATTCTGTTTCTTTATTTGTTATAGCGATTTGGATTCCTGTTGCATTCTTCTCCTATGTGCCACATCCTTTCAGGGTTAGGCGATCATGGCTTGCCACATTTTCCTTTCCTTTGTAGCTCTTAATAAATTTCGACTTTTTGTTATTTCTCCTAAACCTTGCTCCACCATCCATTTACTCAAGTATGCTAGGTAGGCTATGTGTTGTTTTCCTCTGTCCCTCTTACCTTCAATCTGTCCTGTATCAAATTTTCCAAGTCTTCTTTCCCCATTATGTGCCCTAGAAATTTCAACTATCTCTTAATGATGTTAAGTATAAGTGTCCTTTTTATTTCCATTTTCTCTAAAACTTCATTATTGCTCACATGTTCAATCCATGGTATTGTCTGCAACCTTCTGTAGAACCACATTTCTGTTGCATCAAGTCTCTTCTTCATCTGTGAGGAGATTGTCTGGCATTCATTGCCATATAAAAAGACTGATATTACATAACAGGCCAGTACTCTTTTCTTTGTTTATAATGAAATTTTTTAGTTTCATAATAATTTGGTTAGATTTTGGAAAGTGTCTTTCACTATCTGTTGCAGTATATCTATGGACAATAATGGGTATACCCTGAGTCACATAAATGCAGTAGTAAATACTGTATGTTGGTCTACAGTTGGAGATTCATTGTGGAATTCACTTGACTCACTTCTAGCAGTTCACTACTACTTCTACGCGACACTAGTGAATCTTATATGTGTTGTTCTTGCCCTAAGTATTATTATTCATTACCAACCTTCGTTTGATTATTCCATTCAGTAACCTTCCCTAGGTTACAAGACTATCCCATTGCACCTTCAGATTTCAGTGCCACCCTTTCTGTTTTCTGTTAAAACACTTACCAGATATTTAAATTGTTGCACTTGTTTGATTTTGTTATCTCCAATTTGTAATTTGCATGTTGGGCTGTTCCTTTTGCTAACAACCATGCATTCTGTCTTCTTGCAATTGATGTTTAGTCCTTTCTTCTTGCTTTCCTTTGATGCCATCTATAGAAGTTCTTGTAGTTTCCAGTTTGGAATTCAGTGTTGTCTTTCTCCTAGACTGTATGCCACCCAACACTAGAGAGCCCAGTCTACTCTGCTATTTAACCTATAGCTGGAGGTAGAAGAAATGGATTCATACCTTTCCTAAAGATATTAGAGCAAAAGTGAGTGCAGCATACTAGGCTAGAATTTGAACTCTGGCCACCAATTCCTCTTTCCACACCAATAGCCGTTATGCTACCACAAATACACAAATATGAGACTTTAAATACTAAGTTGTCAATGTTGCCAAGTAACTTATCACATGCATGTTATAAGCAAGTATAAATGCTGATGAAGGAAAGAAAATGTCTCTTACTTGAATGTCTCAATGTTTAAACCAAAAGTAGCCATGTGGAGCTAGTATCTCTCAAGCAGTGAGCAATAAGCAAAATAGAGGGATGTCTGTTTGAACTATCTTCTCTTTGGGAACTAAATGTTACTGACTTTATTTTCCCACTTGTATGAGGTTGTCACTTTTCATTTTACATGTAAGGATATCTTACATATTTATAAGTTTACCATTCATCTTTGCTTTAAATATTACTGCTGCATCTGGTCTGGTGCTCCTGCTATATATTTAGAGATTCTTGATAAAATCCAAAGAAGAATCTGTAATGTTAGTGATCCTGACATGGCATCTCAGCTTCAGTCCCTTTCCCACTGATGTAATGTAGTTTCCCTGAGCCTTTTCTATAAATACTTTCATGCTAATTGTTCTGATGATACCTAGAATTTATGAATTTAAGTGCAGTACTAAATTAATGGCAAAGTTTCATCATTTTACAGTTGAAATGGCTTGATGTAACTGTAAGTTCTATGCTAACAGTTTCTTCTGTCACACTTCTCACTTGTGGAACTCACTTCTTTCCAGCCAACTTTGATCTTGAAAATTTAAATACAATGTCAATCATTATTTTCTTTCTTCTTAATTCTTGTTCTTTTATTGTTAACTCTCCTTAATAGTGTTTTTTTTTTTCTTGTATCCTCTGACCCCCTTTTGTCTTAGTGGCTTTATTGTCTTGCTTGGGGTTGAAATGATTAAAAATTATTATTTTTGCATCTCTTCAAAAGCAATCTGGATTGGTAGATCATTAAGATTTTCATTATTTAAATGGCTTGTTGTTTGTTACTGGAAAACTGCCAGGAACTTATTTCATTGAAGTTTGAATCGATCACTCTGTGAGAAATTCATTTCATTAAGACAAAAAAATTGTTTACAGCAGCAAAACTGAATAGTTGCTATTTTAGTCTGGGCCAAATGGCCCAGGCTGAAGCTAAATTTACCTCCTCCAGCAGCTTACAAGCACATAGTGCCATTTCCCTTTGAGATTATATCTTTCCCAAATATAGAAAGAAACTCTGGCACACAGTCTGCAATTTGGGAAAATCCAAGACTCACTGTTCCCCTTTAAAAATGTGTCTTTGCCTGGGACATAATAAATGAAGCCAGCCCATTTGAATATAGAGTCCTAAACATGGCTTCTCCAGGAGTATCTCCATATTATATGTATGACCCTTCCTCTTTGTTTCTCTTTACACTTTTTGTGTTGCTGTGTAGATATGTTGTTTTCTCTGTGTGGAACACATCTGTGTGTGTGTGTGTGTATATATATATATATATATATATATATATATATATATTCCCCACTGATCAAAGTAAAAAAAATAAAATTATTTATATACTATACTAAATTTAATACAACCAACCTAGTCATCCATAACAACTCTTTTCCGTCAACTAGCATCTTACAAAAGACCAACATTGTATATCAATTTAAATGTCCTTTGGAAGATTGTGTCTCTGATAAAATGCTAATACGTATTTTGGTTTTACAACAATGACAAGAAGATTTAATTTTACTTGAACGATCATAGTTCAAACTCAGAACATCTAAAAGAACACTCATGTCCACATTCACAGTTTAGACAAATATTAATCGAAAATACATCATTGTTCCATCAAGATAATAATAAGCAAAAACTTAAAATTGTGGAAGAATTTCATCCCCAAAATAAATAAAGTCAACTACAAGTATAGCAACAAAGTTCTTAAATGTTTGTAGCAGCAAAGTGTTATATAAAAATACAATTAAAAAAACTTTTTAAATTATCTTTTAAAAAATTACAAAGGTAAAAAAAATATTTTCAATTTACAGTGTTAACGCATAACACATCTATAGATATGCAACCCCTGAAGATGATCTCAGATGATATTAAAAGTACTTGGGGGAAAATAAAAATTATTTGAAAGAAAATTCTGGAATTTTTCTTAATCAATTTTCTACAGCCACCAAAAAATTAATTCATTGACTTGAAAGGATTAAAACTAAAATAAATTGACATAATGTCTAAATTATTTAACTAAACATGTTTGAATGAAAATATGCTGATATATATATATATATATATATATATATATATATATATATATATAGAAAGAGAGAGAGAGAGTTTTGTGTATATCTTAGTGGTATAAATCTCTCTCTGAGAACAAATCATGTTTGTCATTCCTTTTCCTTTCAGCCATTCATTCTGTCCATGATATACAGTGTTAAATATATTATGGATATAATAATGCTCATAACAGGGGAAATACAAATGGGAGAATGAATCTTTCTTCCAAGCTCTCCCATTACAGCTCAAATGTAAACAATAACTCCTCATGCCAGAAATTCAGACAGAAACCATGGATTACATTCATATGCAAGAAAGGAACTAGGAATATATATACATTTTTTGCTGCATCCTCTTTCTTTTCCTCTTTTTAATGCATTGCCAGTTTTACACCTTTCTATCCCAACTCATCTTTTCAGTCTTTTAACTCGATATCGCTCATTATCCAACCAAAAAGATGATCTCTTATTTTTTTGTCTCGATTCCTTTCTCTCTCTCTCTCTCTCTATGCGTTTATCTTTTCTCTCATTTGGTTTTGCTTTTTTTCTCACTTTCTTACATTCTACCTTTCCTTCTTTTCCTCCTCATCCTGTTTAATATTATTATCCAGGTTTCTCAATCAGAAAGCATAACTAATTTTATCTCAGAAGGCTCAAGGATTGAGCACAGACACCACAGTCTTTGATACAAGATAAGAAAGTGGTTTTGTTTTTTGGGTTTTTTTTTTTAATTCTCCATTAATAACTCAAATAATTGATTTATTTCTCGTGATTTTGTTTAAAAATGTGTTTTTATTTTTATTCTAATTGAAATTAATTATTTCTTTGTTATTCACAGCCTCTCAAGAAGAAAAAACGTAAATCTGTCAAGAAAGATGAAAAGAAAGACAGTGGATCTACAGAATTAACTTTGACACAAATGGGATCTGTAGAGGCTTCAAACTCAAAACAGGTAATGGAAGGACATAGGTTTTATAATTTATTTTATTCAATTTCCTTACTGTTTTTTTTTCTTTATTTAATCATGTTCAGGCTATGATCTGCTTTAATTTTAATCACCATAGAGAACCTTTTCTGCCAGCCATCAGAATGGCTGATGCTAACCTCCAGGAAAGCAACTCTTTGCACCTTCTTGGACTCATATTTTCCATTGAAATGAAATGGAGTGATTATATCGAATCAATGGTTAGGTCTGCTGCTAGAAAAGTTGGTCCACTCTCAGACAATGTTTCTCGTTAGAATATTTCTTGCATATTTATACATCTACCATTCATTCATGTATTGAATACTGCTGTGATATCTGCTCTGGTGCTGCTACTATATATCTTGAGATTTTTTACTAAATTCGATGAGGGATCTGTAATGTGATTAATCCTGCCTTGGTATCTCAACTTCAGTCACTATTTCACTGACGTGGCTTCCCTCTGCCTAGGAATACACATATATTTTCTGATGCACTCTCTTTCTTTTACTTAATAAAAATTTTTTAATGCATTGCCAGTTTTACACCCTTTTATCCCTACCTGTCTTTTCAGTCTTTTTATTCAATATCTCTTGTTATCCAGTCAAAAAGATGATTTCTCTTTTTGTTTTGTCTCCATCACCCCTCCCTCCTTATGTATTAATTTTTTCTCTTATTTGGTTTTGCTTTTTTTCTTTTTTCTAGATTTTTTTTATATTCTAACTTTCCTTCTTTTCCTCCTTCTCACATTTCTCTCTTCCTTTTTAATAATATTAGAATTAATACAAGTAAAAGGTTTGTCATTTAGCTGATTGATGTTACCTGACTCCAGAGTTTCATAGATGGACCTGTCTATTCACTTGTCAAGGGGCATCAGCAGTTGACTGCTTATACTTCTCAATTTTTCTTTTTTATATACACATCATTGGTGCAAATTTTTTTTGTTTTTTTTCATAGTGTATATGTGTATGTGTTCACTCATGTGTCCACATGTAGAATATTGTGATTATTTTTCCTTTTTTTTTTTTTACTTTTTTACTTAACTTTCTTTTCTTTTTTTTACTTAACTTTCTTTTCTCCCCTGCCTTTCTTTCAACTGTTACCATTTGCCTTCCATATTTTCTAGACCTGCTGTCATTAATCTTTGAGCATTATAATATGTAGGAAAGCATAACTAATTCCATCTCAGAAGACCCAAATGCTACACTCTGTTCTGAGATGCAGAAAGATATCGATTCTACATGTTAACAAGCAGAATATTATTATAGATAATTGTTTCTTGTAGGCAACCATACTGAGTGCTATTGTTTAAATAGCAATTGAATTTTGACAGGGACATATTGCTAGCCTATTTATAGGCTATGATCTGTTAATCTGTCATTTTGTGATTTTTACTGACTTCTTGGGTTTTATAGAGGTTCTGTTTTAGTTGTAGTATTGCCATCAAGATCTGAACTAACAAAAAATGAAGAATGAAGGAAAAGAAGAAAAATGGAGAAAAAGAATGAAGGAGAATAATAATATAGACTAAAGGAGAAGAAGAAAAATGTAAATGAATGATTGAGAGTGTTCAAAAAAACTGAATGTGTTAAGGCATCATATTCTATGATTTTATTTTAATCAGTTCACAACTATTTACTTCTGTCTTAGAAGAAAGTCCAATAGTGTAAAACTACTTTTGAAAAGGACCTCCAATCGGTGGTTAACTGGAACAAGGAATGGCATGTAAATTTGAAGTTTAGCTGTATTTGAAGGAAAAACTAGATTCATGCCTTTCCTAAAAGAGTGTGAAGTGAATGCAAATTTTCTCAGCAATGTCCTTATGTATTTTTTCCTTTTAGCAGACAGATGAAGGTGACAATTTCAAATGCTCTTCAGAAGATGCTTACTATGGTATTCTGTCTCAACCTGCCATCATTATTCATCCCATTCATGGTGGCTCTGATCCCCTGGGACTACAGCGAACCCTCTGGGAAGTTAATCCTCGTTATGTTATCCTTTATGATTCAAATATGCAGTTTGTCAGACAATTAGAGGTGAGTGCAACTGTTTCTATTTGTTTTATTTAGAAGTTTTGTTTTAGGTCATCCCTCCCTCCCTTCATAAAAGAGCAGAAAATCAGAATAAAGTATGCACTGGTGCTGGTACTCACACCTAATTAAAGAAGCAAAACGTGAGTTGAAATAACATTTATATATTCTTTTCAGAGATGTACAATGACAATAAAATGTTCAATTTTTTTAGTAAAGTTTGTTTTATAAAGTAATTAAATGTTTTATAGGGCAGTGTGAACAGACTTACTTTATGTATATTTTTTGTGTATGTGTGTTTGTAAACAAAGGCTTAGTTGGCAGCTGCTGGCTGTCTCTCTTCCATTGTGAGCATACATGTTTAGATTAAACTGGCCTCTGAAATTGTTCTGAGCCTGGGAAGAAGTATGCTTCTATTTTTATATCCATAAGAGGATTCAAAATCTAATTTCATATAGGGGTGTGAACTTTTTGAATACATGGTTTTCATTGGTTTGAAAATAATTTCACAATGGCTCACAAAAATCTTTTTCTTGAATTTGTGGGAGTGGTGAAAGGAGTTATTATTGTTATTTTTTAAGTGGCCCAAAAATAACATGTAGTATGTCTACAAGTATTTTGGCAGTATTTGCCCTTGTAAATGATTGTTTATCAAAAAAACTTCTGGTGGGATTTTATTGGTTGAAAAATATAGGATTTAATTCCTATAGATATAAATGCATCTGAATAGATTTGTAACTTTGTCATTAATTACAAGTGCTGTCTCTGTTATTTGTTTGCAGGTCTATCATGCAACACAACCAGACATTCCTCTCAGAGTTTACTTCTTGACATATAAGAATTCAGTGGAAGAACAAAGGTACCTGACAACTCTCCGCAAAGAAAAAGAGGCATTTGAATATCTTATCAAAGAAAAAGCTGTAAGTATTTGTTAACCTTCAAAATACAAGGGTGTTGTGTGAAGAAAAGAAACAGAAATTTATGTTGCTAAATCTGTTTACTCAGACAGGAAAGTTCATTATTAAAGATTAGGCTTTCAGTATAGTCCTCAGTTTACATGGGTAGCAATATGAGTCAGCTGAGGTCTCGTTAAATTGAAAACAGCTGAACCTGTCACAAAAATGGATACAAACATTTACTTTTGACCAATGGCTATCAGTAAGTGAAGTGAACTTCAAATTACAGAACAAGAGGCTCAGGCAGAAAGAAAGTCACAGAATGAAGATAAATTACATTTTGGATGAAAATGGCAAGACAGAAAATTGTTATCTATAAAACTGACCATCCTGTGGAAAGGCACACAGAGGGATGAAGCAGATCTCTGTGTACCAGGGAATACAACCACCAGACTATGCAGCCCCCCCCCACTTCAACTCTACTTCACTTATTTATAGCAGTAGGTTACAAACCAAGAATAAATCTGGTTCACTGCTAGAAATCGCTTTGTTTTTCACTTGTGGGTCACAATCTGGCTGAAAGGTAATTTTTAAGCCACAAGCTTTGACTGGACGAAACTACACCCTGTCAACAAACCTGGTGTCTGGTCTGAGCTGCAATGCAACACATAGAAAGCTTGGTAAAATACAATTCTTTCACCCATGCATAAAAATGACCATGTTAGCAAAACATTATTTACATAGAGTGGGGGGGGGAATGGTATCAACTGAAATAAAAAATGAAGCCTGAAAATAATGCAAGAATTGTTAAAAAGGTAAACAATATAAAGAAAAAAAAAGCAACAAAGGATTGAGAGGCTGAATTAATATCTTTCTAATAAGTGATCTCCTCTTCATGCAGCGCAACTTGTTTACTTCCTCTATCTTTGAAAGAGGGATGTATCTAGTTGTTGTGAAAGAGAGAGTAAGGACAATAGGAGCAATAATCAGTGGACATCTAATTGGTTCATGACATAATGCTCTGAGTATTCTAATCACCCTAAGATATGTTATAGCCTCTCTGAAATGTTGGAGAAAGTGATATAAAAAAAAAAAACTCTTTTTGTGTTAAATTAAACTATGCACAAAACCAAACAGATATCTCTCTTTATATCTCAGCATGTATTCTTTTAATATAAGGAACCTCAGGAAGTAATGAAACATTGGCAATATTTAACCTTCATGCCAGCAAAAAAAAAATTTTGTTAAAAGGACAGTTACTCGCTTGACATTGCTATCAGTGTATACACTTTTGACTCCCTTTATTTAAAGGATTATAAAAATATGTAAACCAACTACAATGCAATATTTATTATTTACCTTTTTTTTAAAGGATTTATTTACTGTTTTATAAAGAAATAAATTTGAAAAAATTTTTTATTAAAAAAAAATATAAAATTATCAATGTGTAAACCAACTACAATTTATTATTTACCATATCATAAATAACTCTGAAACCAAGTTTTTTTTTTATTCAATCTACTAAAATAGTTCAATGTCTTTGTTGTCAATTCTCAAAGATAAAGGAAATGTATAAATCTAATCATCACTTTTTAAAAACAAATATTTCTGAGGGAGTCAAAAGTATATATAGTAATAGTGATGTCAAGGGAATAGCTATCCTCTCAATACACCTACTTTTTCTTTTTTTTTGCGGGCATGATGGTTACACATTGAAATATTTTAATTAAAACGCCAGGCATAAAAACCAGAGGAAGACATCAAGATGATGATGATAAGCCTATTAATAAAATCTATTTCATCTATAAATAAATACAGAATAAAATTTTCCACTATATACAGTGTGCGATGGGTAAATTGTCACCATTTTATATTTTTAATTTTGTGCATGCATGTTTGTTTTTGATTTTGTCAACTGCACAGTATAGTAGGGTCAGTTGGGCACCATCTGTGAGAAAAAGAGCACCATGATGCAATTCACTCTACCAGAAATTTGGAAATGGCATGCTGTACTGCTTGGCATTTGCACTAGAAGCTCCAATACAAATATTTCAGAATGTTTGGATGTCAATCTGAGGACAGTGCTGAGGATTCAAAAATAGTTTGATGAATCTAATGGTGATTATGAAGGTACAGCAGCTTGGAAAACTCGCTCTGATCATTCTGATAAAAAAAAGTTTGTTAGTGAGGGTCTCAGACTCAACACGGAGTATCTTGAGGATGTAGTACTGCCCTGGGTCAAGAAGGTGGTTGCTGGAAGACTGTATGTATGGCCACAGGAACCTGCACCATGCCACACAAACAGGAGAACCCAATCATGGCTGTCAGGCAATTTCTGCAACCATATCACCTCTTACATCTGGCCACCTAACTCCCTAGACTGCAACACCTTTGATTATTATATGTAGGGCACAGTTGAGCAAGATCCCAACAAAACTCCTTGTAACACCAAGGATGAACTGAGGGCAAGGATTATGGCAACATTCACCAACTTAAACAAAGAGACCATTCAGAAGAGATGCTTGGGGCCGTGGTTGGTGCTAATAGAGATTTTATTGAATAAATTTACTCTTTAGTATTTAAAGATATTTTTCTGTAATTTTGGTAAATATATCTGTTAAAATGAGATGTCAGTGTTATTTTCATTTTTGCATAATTTAGATAACAATTTATCCATCGCACCCTGTGTATGTACATTATTTCCAATGTCTTAAGTGTTATTTTATTATAGACAATGGTGATTCCAGAAGAAAGGGATGGTAAACTTGAAGATGATCCAAATCTTCATCCAATGCCTCTCCAAGAAACATCCATGTCTTCCAGAAGAGGTGGGCTTGAAAAACCCAAAGAACAACAAATGGTATTGATTTTATTTATTCCATGAAAAGAAAAATGTTTTTTTTTTCTTCTAAGGTTAGAATCACAAATGTAGTTTTTGTATCAGCATCAAACTTATATTTTTGGCAAATTTCCACCTATTTAAAATAATTTTATTTTAATTTATTTATTTATTTTTTGCAATTATCATATATACAAACAAAAAATAAGGGACAACACTATATACAGCAGTGGATCTCAACCTTTTTTTACCCATGGACCCCTTTTCCCTTCTTTTTATCTTGGTGGACCCCTTCATAGCTATTGGACATAAGAACAATTTTCTATTCTTCACTAATATAAATTTTAAGGTTTTAATTATCAAAGAAATAGTATACGATTAAGCTTTATTTTTAAATGAAAACTAATTTAATACAAATAAAATATTCTACTATAATTATAATAATAATTATTATTACTATTTTTAATTAACACAACAATTGAGTTTTGCCTGTGGACCCCCGGAAATATTACATGGACCCCTAGGGTCCATGTAGACCCCGGTTGAGAACCACTGATATACAGGTAATTTTTTTTGATGTGGTTAAAAAAAATTCAAGCATGACCGAAAACAAAAGTACATTATCTAAATCTTTGTCTCGGATATTTTACAGTAACTGTTTTTTTCTCCATTTTGGATAGCTTTGTATAAGAAAGAATAAAGACCATTTATTTGCTGTAAAATATGTCCAGGATGATGCCCAGTGCTGCAATATTTGATTACTGTAGGCCTACTAGTATTGTTCAGATGCTGGGTTGCATTATACATGAGCTATAAAAAAAAAAAATTAGGTTTTTCACAAAAAAGATTCAGAGGTTGCATTATACATAAAGTTGGTTTATACACAAGTATATATGGTATGTATTTCAGTTCAGAAATCTATTTTTTCTCTTAATTTAATTAGATAATTGTTGATATGCGGGAATTTAGAAGTGAACTGCCTTCTTTGATTCATAAACGGGGAATTCACATTGAGCCAGTTACAATTGAGGTAAGTAAATATAAAAAAGCCAGTTTGAACTCCAATTGGAATAAAAATGGTTTCTTTATCTAGAGTTAAATTTTGTTTTTTTTAAAAATATAAAATTTTATTTTTCCAAACATAATATTTTCTAAACTCCATATTTTAACAATTTATTAACAAATTTTTATTATAATTTGATATAGTTCTATAAAGTAACAAATAAATTCTATTTTAGAAAACCAAGGAATAAAAATAATGACACTCTATTTTAGAAAACCAAGGAATAAAATAATGACACTATTTCTTAAATGTTTTTTTTTGTTAGATTCCTGTGTTTTCTTTTGTTTGCCCAACAAATGTGTGCCTATTTTATTTATTTATTTTTTTTGCACAAAAGGCACTACTTTGAGCTCATTGGGAGGCACAAGAAAACAGGAAGTAGCTTTTGTAATGAATACATACTTTTATCAAGTCACAGGTCTGACTAAATGATAAGTGAAATTTGAAAATATGGTAAATTTCCAGGATTATTTTAAGAAGAATTAGCATCTGATACAAAAGAAGAAAAAAAAATAAAAACATTTTGCTGAAGATGAAAATATTTAGGTAGCAAGTATTCATCCAAACAAGTTTGATTAAAAAGAATCAACAATGTGTCTCTACATAATTTTTTATTGTATTTTTCCAATTTTCAGAGAAGGTGTTGAGTATTGTTTTCAAAGTTGTGGATAAACTATCCAAGATTTATCCACAACTTTGAGCACAATACTCAACACCTTATTTGAAAATTGGGGAAAATACAAAAATTGAGCAGATGGACCTTTTCAGTTACTTTTAATCAAATGTGTTTGGCTGAATACTTGTTGCATATATATATATATATATATATATATATATATATATATATATATATAATATTCTGAAGACTTAATGGAGTTTTTTTATTTTTTTTATTTGACATTTTTATTACTTCAAACATTTTTAGTGGATACCCATATTTGAGTAGATGCTCCATTTATTTTAAACAGTATTAATTTTCTCTGCCAGACTTTGTACGCAAGAAAATTTAATAAAGAAAATGTGCCCTCCAGCAGGATTCAAACCAGTGTCCCCCTTTGCAAGAGGAAGCACTGTCTGAGCAGAATCCTGCCAGAGAGCACATTTTCTTTGTTTTCTCTAGTATGTATGCAGGTAGATGAAATAAATACTGTTTAAAATAAATGGAGTCTCTACTTGAATTAGGTATCCACTAAAAATAACCTTTTTGAAGTAATAAAAATATATAAAGGAATGTAAAAATATTAAATACAAAGGGATACTGAATTAGTCTCATCCTTACTAAATGATGAAACATCTGATTTTTGTAGGGCTTTCTTGGTTAAGCTGGCAACAGCTCTTTATCCCAACTTGAGATTCAAAAATCTTTAAGTCTCATAAATGATCGTGTATTCCTGTTTTCTGCAGGTTGGAGACTACATTTTGACACCAGATATTTGTGTGGAGAGGAAAAGTGTCAGTGATTTGATTGGTTCTCTGAACAATGGTCGCCTATACAACCAATGTGTTTCAATGTCTCGGTATTACAAGAAACCAATTCTGCTCATAGAATTTGATCCCAACAAATCTTTTGCTTTGATGGTAGGTTCCCCTTTATAAGTTTGCTTCTCTTTCATGTTGCCTGTGTGTATGTGTGTATATATATATATATATATATATATATATATATATATATATATATAAGAAAGAACAGTAAGATTTATAATTCAGTGTTCTTAGCAGTCCTTTTTATTTTAAGGGTGGTTGGGTTTTAATTTCCCTAGACAGCTTAATGGAACAAGTTTTGAAACATGGAAATTTTCTGTGTCACAATGGAATCCTATTTATAAAAAGAAAATAATTATATATATATATATATATATATATATACACACAGAGGAATCCCTTGATTAATGCAGCTATAAAAAAATAATCAATTTTAATGGTTAACCTGAAGAATGTTTTACTGCATTAATCGAGTATTTAGAAAACCAAGGAATAAAATAATGACACTATTTCTTAATTTTGGTATACAAAAATGTTAGCGTCTTAATCAAAAACACATTAATCGAGGGATGCCTGAGTATATTGGGGGGAAAATGCATGACAAAGTGGAAAAAGTTTTCTTGTGATGCATTTTGTCCTTTAGGACTTCAGACTAAATTTGTGATGACATAACATACATTATTCCCTAATATTGTTCTTGATATATAAAAATGTATTGTTATCTCATATATATAATGAATCTTTCGGCTTTGTTTTGAGCTAATTGTCACAAATTGATAAATGTTTTTCCTTTGTGTTGGTAATGTTAGATTTTGGTTTAAAAAAAAGCAATGGTAATGTAATGTTGTGGAATAATGTATTATTCCATCTACAACATTTTACGCGCGCGTGAGTTTCCTCCCTTTCTTCCACACTCGTGTGTGTGCGCGCGCGCGCGTTTGACACCCCTTTCTGCCTCTTTCGGTCTAATACAGTAGTAACTGGTTTTGTCGGCAGACAAGCGACCTGCTATTCCTGTTTATTCAAATTAGATTTTTGAAATCTTCCTGCGAAATTTGTGACGTCACCGACAAACTGTTGTTTCAAAAATTAGTTGTGATCCAGACTCGGACCTGGGCAGACTGATTTTTAGCCATGTCAATATGCAAGGTTGACAGACGAGGGATATCTTACAATGCTAATACCAAATAATTAATTCTGTGTCCCTTTTGGCTCGTCATTCAAAATTCTTCTACGAGACGATGCAACTCCAAGTATTAACTTTTCGTCCCTTTTGGCCTCGTCATAAATCTGTTTTGAACCAGTACCAAAAAAGAAAAAAAATATATATACATAACATTTCACTCACATTAGCAAAAACTGCGCAGTGAGTATTTTTCCTTGTATGTATATTATCATGTACATTGACTTATCTGGAACCTTCTTCTCCTTCAAGAACTTTTCCCATTTTAGCCATCTTGTTTTCTATTTTGGCGCGGAACATTTTCATTGATCCCTACCACGGGATAAGTTACTTGTTTTCCTGCATTTAATAAAAATTACTCTTGTTGGAATCCAGTCTTTTTTCAGTCATTCTGTGCGGCTATCTTAATATATTTTATTTTATGTACGTGTGGATTAACCACATTTCTTCGTTGTTCATTCACGCATATTTTTATCTTTTTTTTTTGCTTGTAGACTCGGTAGTTTAGTGTGGTGTCTGGCACAAGGCCACTTAGTAATAAACCAGCACTGCACCCTACCGGGCCTGCAACAAGTTTAGTGACCGAGACGTGAATTGAACACGCAATAATTTTGCAACCTTGCCAACATAATTCTGAGCAAGCTGAAATATAAACGTGCATAAATTCGATAGCCAGAATGCGTCTAATGACTCTGAAGAGTTGGCGAACATGACCGCCGTCCTCCTTTTCCCCCTTTTCATGAAGGGAATATAAAGAACTGGTTCCTGCAAATGGAAGCTATTTTTACAGTCAGAAGGATTACAGACCAAAAACAAAGTTTGGCCACGTGGTGGCGGTTTTGCCACCCGCCATTGTCGACGACGGTATCAGACTTCCTAGAAGCCGTTCCTGAAGTAGAACCCTACGCCCGATTAAAAAGAAGCAATCTTAAGGAGAATGGGCGTGCGGAGGAATCATTAATCCGGGAACTATTTAGCAACCTAACTTGCGATGGCAGGACTCCCTCACAACTTCTTCGTTATATGAAAAGCCAACTCGGCAAAAATACCATGGCTGACTCTATATTGAAAAGCTTGTGGCTGGACCGTCTCCCCACCACCATTACCCAAATTTTGGCGCCTATGTCCGAGAACACCCCAATCGACCAGTTAGCGGACGCCGCTGACCGTATTTTCGCAACTGGATCATCAGACAACGCCAGTACACAGTGCTGAAGCAATTAGTGACCACAGGTCCTTGGGAAAAACAGTGGAGGATTTGCAGCGCCAAGTTAGAGATTTAACATTAGCTCTAGAAAGCCATGGTGAAGCGGTTCCCTTCCGCCGGCGCTTCAGGAGTCGACCTCGCTCGTCCAGTCGAAACAAGGATCGACTTCTATGTGTTATTACCACCGCCGATTTGGGTCTGCAGCACACTACTGCACCAAGCCGTGTACCTATACTGCGGTCGCGGAAAACAAAACCGCCAGCGAGTGAAAGCGACTAATCTCGCTGGCAAAGGCATTTTCACGAAGCTTAGTCGCCTTTTCTACGTGACGGATACACGTAATAATTTACGTTTTTTGGTTGACACCGGCGCTGCCATTAGTGTTTTACCCGTGCGTGATAAAGCACGTCAACAACCTTTTCAGCTCCGCTTACAAGCAGCAAATGGTTACAGTATTAATACTTACGGATGCGAAGTCCCTTACCCTAAACATAGGAATGCGACGAGACTTTACCTGGAATTTTACTGTTGCTGACGTCCAGATGCCGATATTAGGTGCCGATTTTTCCTGGCACACTATGATCTCAGCCGTTCGAATGAACAATCATTCCTTAACAGACAACTTAACAAGACTGTGTGTTCTTGGCACTTACTCTAAACTTACCACCACTGGCATCACCATGGCAACTTGCCACAATAAAGAGTACTTAGACTTATTGAATCAGTACCAGGACCTCCTGCGTCCTGCTGGATCTATTGATTCAACTAAACATCAAACACAACACTTTATTAAGACCACTGGTCAACCTGTTTTTCCGTCGCAAATGGTCTAGCACCTAACAAATTAAAATTAGCAAGAAAGCTTTCAACGACATGCTACGAGAGGGTGTTATTCGTCCGTCCGACAGTCCCTACGCTTCCCCTCTTCATTTGGTACCCAAACCAGGAAAGGAAGACTATAGAATTTGTGTGGATTATAGAAGGTTGAATTCCATTACTGTCCGGGATCGTTATCCAATTCCCCATCTCCACGATTTTCGCTTCTGGTTTACAAAGGCGCAAAAGATTTTTACCAAAATAGATCTACAAAAGCATATTATCAGGTGCCAGTAGCTGCTGCTGATGTCCCAAAAACTGCTGTTACTACACCATTTGGTTTATTTGATTTTTTAAAAAATGCCTTTCGCCTTTGCAACGCAGCACAGACCTTTCAACGTCTTATGGACGAAGTTCTGCGTGGACTCCCCTTCGTTTTCGATTACATTGACGACATTCTGATAGCTAGTGAGGACGCTGCCTCGCATAAGCAACACCTACACGAAGTTCTTCGACGTTTGTCTCATTACGGATTCCGTCTAAACCTGGACAAATGTGTCTTCGGATCAGACCATATAGAAATTTTAGGACATCATGTCGATGCAAATGGAATTGCCCCTATAACTGAAAAGATTAAAGCTATCACTGAGTTTCCGTCCCTGTTTCCATCAAACAGTTGAGGCGGCTTTATAGGGATAATCAACTTCTATCGGAGATTCATTCCGAACTGTTCTAACATTCTGACTCCCTTACCAACTTATTACAGAAGAAGAATAAAACTATTATACTTGAGAATGAAGCCTTGGACGCCTTTTCGAGCAGCTAAAACCGCTCTAGGCAATTTTTCTAAGCTCAGTTTCTTAGAGGACGACCCTCAATCGGATATCTACCTGACCACTGACGCTAGCGAAACAGCAATAAGGCGGTCATTGAACAAGTCAGTCCTTCTCAACGTAAACCCATAGCGTTCTTTTCGCTAAACTTTCTCCTGCCCAGTCACGCTACAGTACCTTTTCTCGTGAACTGTTGGCTATTTTTCGTGCTATTAAGCATTTCAGACACCTCCTCGAAGGTAGGTCCTTCGTTATCTTTACGGACCACAAACCTTTAACGTCCATTATGTCCACCAATTCGGACAAATACACTTCGAGGGAAATCAGATATCTGGACTATATATCTCAATTTACTACTGATATTAGGTACATTAAGGGTTCGGATAACACTGTTGCCGATACCCTATCTCGTACTGACATGTTCGTCGTGCATACAGATGCACTCAGTCAAGACTTGATCGCCGACGAACAGAAAGCGGACATAACTCTGAAGCATGTGTTATCCGACACTTCTTTGGAACTTCAGAAATGTCCAGCTCCTTTTAGTAGCAAGGTCCTATACTGTGATGTTAAATCCAAATCCCCAAGACCTTATGTTCCTCCGTCTCTTCAGAGACAGGTTTTTGACAACCTACACGGACTCTCACACCCTAGCAAAAGAGCCACAGTTAAGTTAATTTCGGACCGTTTGTTTGGCGAATATGAGCGTTCACATTCGCGAATGGGTCAATACATGTTTACAATGTCAGAAGTGTAAGGTGCATAGACACACAAAATCTCCGTGGGCACTTTCAGTGAGCCTGATGCTCGTTTTACTAATATACACCTGGACTTAGTTGGGCCCCTACCAACCTGCCATGGTTATTCCTACCTTCTAACTATAGTGGATCGTTTTCCCGATGGCCTACTGCCATCCCTGTCAAAGATACCACTGCTGTGACTGTCATAAAAAGCTATTTTATGCGATTGGATTTCGATTTTTGGGACTCCTAAAGTGGTTACTACAGATAGAGGAGCACAGTTCCAGTCGTGTCTTTTCAGGGAATTCACTGAACTCCTTGGTGCAAAGCATATCGTGCTACAGCGTATCACCCCTGTGCTAATGGTCTGGTGGAGCGATTCCATCGCACCCTTAAGGCTTCGCTATCAACAAAGCATGAGAATAATAATTGGGTCGATGAATTACCCCTCATCCTTCTATCGTTAAGAAATATTCTTAAGGATGACTTGAAATGCTCCCCTGCAGAGCTTGTATTTGGTACGTTATCTTTACCCGGCCAATATTTTTCACCAGCTGTGACCACACCCCCAGTTTCTTCATCTTTTATTCAGGACTTACGCCTTAAAATGGCAAACTTATGCTATACACCACGGCGGCACTGCCGAAAGTGATATATATTTACCGCACCAGCTCAAGGACTGCGAGTTTGTATTTATGCGTAATCGACTCTGTTAAGCGGCCTCACGCCGGCCACAGGCCCATACCGCGTTCTTAAACGCGGACAAATATTCTATTATTATTAGTTAAATGTTTGCGACATTTAATCCAGGGGACGGGGCTGTGTGGAATAATGTATTATTCCATCTACAACATTTTCGCCGTGAGTTTCCTCCTTTCTTCCACACTTTCATTATTGTGCCGCATTTGACACCCCTTTCTGCCTCTTTTTCGGTCTAATACAGTAGTAACTGGTTTTGTCGGCAGTCAAGCGACCTGCTATTCCTGTTTATGCAAATTAGATTTTTGAAATCTTCCCGTGAAATTTGTGACGTCACCGACAAACTGTTGTTTCAAAAATTAGTTGTGATCCAGACTCGGACCTGGGCAGACTGATTTTTAGCCATGTCAATATGCAAGGTTGACAGACGAGGGATATCTTACAATGCTAATACCAAATAATTAATTCTGCGTCCCTTTTGGCTCGTCATTCAAAATTCTTCTACGAGACGATGCAACTCCAAGTATTAACTTTTCGTCCCTTTTGGCCTCGTCATAAATCTGTTTTGAACCAGTACCAAAAAAAGAAAAAAAAATATATATACATAACATTTCACTCACATTAGCAAAAAACTCGCAGTGAGTATTTTTCCTTGTATGTATATTATCATGTACATTGACTTATCTGGAACCTTCTTCTCCTTCAAGAACTTTTCCCGCCTTAGCCATCTTATTTTCTATTTTTGGCGCGGAACATTTTCATTGATCCCTACCACGGGATAAGTTACTTGTTTTCCTGCATTTAATAAAAATTACTCTTGTTGGAATCCAGTCTTTTTCAGTCATTCTGTGTCGGCTATCTTAATATATTTTATTTTATGCACGTGTGGATTAACCACATTTCTTCGTTGTTCATTCACGCATATTTTTATCTTTTTTTACTTTGCTTGTAGACTCGGTAGTTTAGTGTGGTGTCTGGCACAAGGCCACTTAGTAATAAACCAGCACTGCACCCTACCGGGCCTGCAACAATGTCAATCATTATCTTCTATCTTAATTCTTGTTCTTTTATTGTTCTCTCATATAATCTTACACCAAGTAACCACTTGCATCTTAATGACTTTATTGCCTTGTTTAGGGGTGAAATGAAAACAAAAGTAGTTGAATCAGCCATTTCCACATGGGAAAACATAAACACTTATTCAGGAAATTAAATTTCTCAAGTTGTCAACTTGTTTTTATTGCTCATTCTCACATCAATGAGTTTCCTTCTTAACCTTATGTTTAAGGTAATGTGGAAAGTTAGCATTTTAATTGTATCATCATCTTTCTTTCAAGTTATATATGTTACCCATTTTAGTTGCCACTGACAGTCTTCAAGTGCTGTGGTTTTAGTTACTTATTAAAGTTCTGTGACTTTGTAACACCAGTCTACAGGGTCTGATGAAGGATTGTCTTTAAGATCTAAAGGATTCATTTACTTGAAGCTATACAAATTTTGAAGTAGATATGGTATATACATCCTTGAGGATTGAAAATTTTAATCAGAAAATCTAAGGCTTTGGCTGTCACTCTCACTAGTGCACCATCTGAGCCTACACTTTAGACAGTGACAAGTGCTATATCATTTTAAATGAATTCAACACCTGTAGACTAGATTTCAGACAGCCATGGAGTATAAACACTTGCCAAAGTAGATGCATGGTAAGGACGGTAATGGCAGACCACATTGTGCTTAGTTAAGAATAAATGTGGTTCCAGGAATATCAACATGGACCATTCATTTACTTTCAGGAGAGAGAATGTGAATCAGTCAGTTCTAGCTGATCAAAGGGAATAACTGGTCCATTAGTTTGTCACGATAAAGGTTTTTCAAAGTGTCATCTACCTACCTTCTGGATTGTGCCAAGTGAATCTCTGAATAAAATAATTAATGTAATGGAAAGGGGATTCACATTTTCATGTCTTGTTAATTTCATCTCATGTTTTCCTTATGAACATTACACCAAGTCTTTCCCATTTTTCGGGCAATGTGGATTTTTTTTGGTCTGTCAGTGTAAAACAGGGCCCTCTGAGGTATGTTATCACACATTTTTTATAGTAACCTTTTATCTGTTACTTCAGACATAAATTGATAAAGTTGTATTATAAAATTCTTCAGGTCTGTGTTTTTTGTTTTTTTTTTCTCCAGGGCAAATACAAGCTATCCAGTGAAGTTTCCATGAATGATGTCACATCACGACTGACACTTCTAACAATACATTTCCCAACGCTGAGGATTCTTTGGTGCCAGAGTCCCTATGCAACAGCAGAATTATTTGAAGAACTTAAAGTGTGTTCCTTTTAAAATATATCTAGACATAATTTTTTTTCTTTCATGTGTATAAGAAATAAGTCTTTTTAAGTATTATGAAGTTATATTATAAAATTAAACACATTCAATATATCCCCTCCTCCGCACCAATAAAAACCAATGTTATGAAATTACATCAGCAACCAGGATGTAACCCATTGAAAGTCACGTGATTTACCAGTCGAAGCTACTCAAAGGGAGATAACTGCAACGTAAAAACGTAAACTTTAAAGAACGTTTAAAAAAATTAAAACATGAATAATTTGACTCTTATTGAATTGCCCCTCCCCCCCAAAAAAAACGAAAACAACAGCAGACTAAAAACTGGATGCTGTTAAATGTAAAAATGAAAGAATTATTGAGTGACTCAACATAATGGAAACAAAATTCGTATTTGTTAACTAACATCAACATAAAGAGAAAAATGTTTTAAGGGACACAACTGCTCGAAATGTTCTGAAGATTTATGTTGAATCCTAAAATAATAAATAAATGTTAGGATTTATATTTTACTTACGTTTTGAATGGATGAACTAACGGTATTTTCTTTTTATCTTTACAGATGGGAAGAGAACAACCAAATGTATCATCAGCGTTGTCTGTAACAGCCACTGAAGAGAATATTGAATGGAATGAACGTTATAACCCAGGGCCTCAGGTAAATCTTCTCTTGGAAAATTTGCTAATGACAACTTTCAGAATCAGAAATTGATTTTCTTAAAGTGAAGAGATTAAGTATATAATTATATAATAATTTAGGTATATAATTAGGTATATATAATATATATATTAAGTATATAATTATATAATAATTTATAATATAATTTATTCGTTAATTTTGTCAATTTTATTTTTTCCCCAAAAGCAAATTTGTAATAAGGATTTTGTCTTCCCTTAGTGACATGGATATGAAGGGAGTGCTGAAAAGTTGTTGATCCTATGTAGAAGGGATTTACAAAAAAAAAAAAAATTTTTTTGTTTATTTTCTGGCAAGTTGGTGGAGTAGAAAAATTTAACACCTTATATAATATCTTTTGTAGACTTCTGATTTTAATCTGTAAAAATGTGTTTTTCTGATTTATTATTTAATTTAATATGCGACTTTTCAGGGAAATGTTGACAGCTGAATTTTATTAGCTTAAATGACTCTCAGAGTTTTTATAAGGGAAATGGAAACTATTATGTTTCTTATGACACAGAAAAATGTAAGAAATTTCTTGAAGTTGAATGATTTTTTATTTAAAAAAAAACAATGCATTTTTTTTTCTATGAACTAAACCTAAAGTTTGTATTATTGATGAGAAAAGAAATTTTTGTTTTTATTCATTCTAGGACTTTCTACTGAAAATGCCAGGAATTAATTCAAAGAATTATCGTCTGATCATGAACATGGTAACAGATTTGCATGAATTGAGTTCTCTGTCTTTAGAGCAACTTACAGAAATATTGGGCAATGCCCGCAATGCTGAAACATTGTGGAACTTTATCAGCACGAAAGACAAAGTTCTTTCCCAGAAGGAAACTGCTGGAAAATCAAAGACAGATCTTAAGAAATCTTTCAAGAGGAGATAAATATTTGAAAACTTATATTGCTAATAAAATTCAATGCGTTATTTTTGTTTTGTTTTGAGTTCTTCATAATTTATTTCCAACACTTATTAGATCTTGGACATTGTGGCAGTTTGAGTACACAGTATGGCTTTAGAATTTGATCTGTTCAGTTTAATAATTTGTTCTATTGATTGATTTTTTTATTTTATTTCCTCATTGCCAGTCAATCCATTTGAAGCATCTGCCATAAAGGTATCTTGTGTCCTTACATTCCATTCTTGTGGCCCAGTGTTACATGAGGTTAAGCTTAAAAAAAAAGAAAAAAGTACATTCAGTCAATCTGATATCCTAGCTTTGTATGTGACTTACATCATGTTTTTCTTTGTGCCCACATGTTAAAATAAATTAATGCCAGTTCAAGGAGAGACCATTTGATTTGATATTTATTACATTTAACTCAATACTATACAAACTCAGCTCAGCTAAAACTCTGTATTTTAAATACTAACACACAAAGTAATGAACTCTAAATGACTGTATACTCAGTGGTGGCAAATTTTTGCCATTATTAAGGAAAAGAATATTTGGTCAAAGGACTCCTTGCTAATACAAGTGTTACTCACTATCAATAACCTTTAAAAATTGACATGAGGTCCTCTAAAAACATAACGTGAAATGTGTTATAGTTGCCAAAAACTGGTAAGAATTAATAACTGGAAAATGCTTTTATAAATTCTCTTTTTGGGAGTTCAAATTGTGCCAGAGAGCATATTTTTTTAAATAAGTTTTCTTGAATATTCAGGCCAGTAGACTAAAATAGACAAATATACTATTTAATAAATAAGCAGGAGCATCAACTCAAAGATGGGTATCCACTAAAAATAACATTTAAGTAATAAAATACATATATTTATAATTATTGAATCACAAAAGAAATATAATTTTTTTTCTTGAGCCAGGCCTCTTATATTTGACACTGACAACACCCAAAACCACTAGTATACAAAACTAGAAAGCTAATTTGTTTATTATAATTATCTAAATATATTAGTTTTATTCATTGATTTAATTATTGGATATTATTATTATTAGTTTAAAATGATGATTGTATTATGTGATGATTGCTGTCTAAACTGATATGACTTTATTAGACATATTGTAGCTGTTTTAACCCCTTTTTCTCTGCCTTCTCTTACTCAGTATATTAACTTTTTCAGCCCTTTCATGGAATTTTTTTCGAGGTCAATCTATTTATTTTTGCTGTTGGCTTGCTTGATTTCTTTCTTTATCTGTCTGGATGGATTGATTCCATTTCTTGAAAATATTCATGAAATAAATTATAACCGATATGGATTTTTAAGGTGTTTTCTTAATTTATTATATATATATATATATATATATCTGTCTGAAGTTCCTAAGAAAGATTCTGAGAGGCTTACATTTAAACAGTCTTCTCCAGAAGGGATTGAAATACGTTTTATCACTAAGGCATCCTGTGATTAATAAGTGCAATACTTTTGTGCCCTTTTGTTATATACTGCTTTGGCAATGCCATCTAGTGGCCATTAGCAGACAAGTGGGATAATCCCCACAACTTTTTCAATCATTGACAAGGTCTCTTAAGTACTCATAATTTATATAAATTCAGTAACAGAAGCTAAAAGAAACTTAAAAAAAAATATATATATAAATTACTTTCACACATTTTGAGGAGAGTCCAAGCCAAAACCAGCTCTCAGAAGTTATCAAATATTTTATTGCCTCAATCACAGACTGCTCTGTCCAGATGTCTGGCTTGGTCTGGAGGTTTAAAGAAAAAAAAAAAAATGATGTTAATATTATATTATTTAAAAAAAGTCATTTATTTTACTGCAGGAATAACAGGATAACTAACAACAAAAATGCAAATTCCTTATTTTAAATGAAATACAATTAGAAATGGCAAATTATTTATAATGAGATACTTGTTTCTGGTTCGATAACTTCTCCACATCAGGTGAAATATTTGTTGATGCCACGAGCAAAACATCATACAGGTGGTTATTACCCAATTTTCTTTATAAATGGCATATATTTCATTTTCGAAAAATGTTGTTCACAAGCATATATACTTCCAAATAAATATGACATCATTTTAGCATTATTCAATAGGCTTTTAAATTTTCTACTGGGTAAAACATTTATTGTAGAAGTCAGCAGTGGATTTGGAATTAAGTTTTCATTTTAAAAAAATTTGTCACATTGTAAGTCAGTTAACTCCAACTGATATTTTTTTCTGCCACTTGCTCCACAAATGAATTAGATAATTAATATAATGTGTGTGTGTGTGGGGGGGGGGGGACCTATCCTCATTGTTTTCATATTCCTTATGTAAGAAGGAATTTCAATTCAGACAGTTTCTTCCCAACAGCCACTACTTTAAAGAATAGATTCTAGAAAGGATATTTACCCGAACACTACAATGTTAACCTTTTCAAGTCTACAGTTAACCATTACCTATCCTATATATCATCATAATCTGCACTTACTACCCCCTCCTACATCCATAAAACAACCACGTTTAATAACGTTATAACATTTCCCAGATAGTTAAATTTCTACACTTGATTTATTTTGATGTCTACAATTTGTAGCTCATGTATTCAGCTGTATTTCTTGCTAATGACTGTACATTCTGTCTTCTTACAATTCATGGTTAGTCCTTTCTTCTCACTTTTATTTACTAACTTGTTTAGAGATATTTAAGATGCAAAAATTAAAATACTATAAAATTTTCTTCAATTAATTTAATAACAAATGAAATACCATGATTACTCATTTGAAGTATGACCCACACTAATGTAAATACATAAAATAAAAATATTTAGCGTAATAGTAATTGAAAAAAGTTAATCATTAAACTTTTGAAGCTGAATGGAAATTTTGAAAACCTGTTGAAACGTAATTGAAGCGACCTAATGAAGGGGCAAAACTTCTAGATCATAATAATGGCAATTTCAGTCTACCATACATGAAAATAAGGAACGTATTAAGTAAAAAAAAAACAAAAACAAAATAAAAAATTATTTTAAAAACAGAATAGCTCAACTAAGTCTTTTAAGTATTAATCTTTTCAATTTTGGATTTATAAATTTTGTTTCCACTTAATTACTATATCACATCCAGGAAATAGTCCAATACAGAATATTACACAATTTTAAACTATTATAAATTATTATAATTAAAATTAAAAAAAAAAAAAATGGAAAAATTATTGTAAAAATTCATTATTCATCAGAAAAATTTTATTTCTTCAGACAATAATGTCCTTAATATTATTTACAAAAGCAATTAAAAACTTTTCTAATTAATGAATTTTATTTATTGGATTCATTATTTTTCAATTCAGATCAGATTTTCAGTTAGATAACTCAAATTTGAAAAAAAAAAAAAAAAAAAAAAGTAGGTGATTTACAATCTCCAAGGACTCCTATTTTTAAGAAAAAAAAATCAGGAAATGGAAAGTTTTTTGCGAAATTTCATGAAATTAAATAAATGAGGGGAGTGGGGAGTAACATATTTAAAAAAAAAATTTTTACCAAAATTTTCTGAAAAAAAAAAAAAAATAAATAAATTCAGAAATAATTTCATTCATTTGTGAATAAGTCCTGAAAATTTCATTAAAATCGGACAATTATTTGATTTTTACAAGAATTTCTAAATCAATGCGCTTTCAACGGAAAAAAGCGCAAAACCATGTTATTAGTTAGCGATGACGTAAACAAATGGTTTTATTTTAACCAAAATTTCGAACGTGTTAGAAAGGATTAAAAAATTTCAAAAAATAATTAAAAAAGTACTTTGATCTTTCTTCTTAATAAACATTTTAACGATAAAACAATTATTAAGTTTGTGGCCCTTTTCATTACGCTGCGCTGTTTTCCGCGAATAAGTGGAGGTACCTAAATTGTTTTATTCTAACATTGAATTATTAACAGCCACCGTACTTCACAAAACTTACCTTCACGGGAGACCTTAGATTTACCGGCCTTTTTAGCACCCTTTGAACTAACTTTAGTAGGAGACATCGTTAATGTGAACAGAATGTAGCCAGTAACTTAGCCACATCGGCTTCAAGAGCGTCTTTGTTTTACTGAGTTTTCATTGGTCAAAAAATAATATGGAGTGAGATTTTTTTTTTTTGTTTAAATTTGAGCGGTAAAATATCAGCAGAACTCGTTGTAGATGTCTGAACTTTTGTAAATCCATTTTATTACGATTTCATATCTCAATGATGTAGTTGACCACTATCAATTGAACAAATACGAAGTAGACGCTGTTATTCAGGACTTGTATTTCGAAAATCAGCCAGCAATAATGACGATTGAAGAGACAGAAGAAAAAACAAAATATACCCGAAAGTCTTGTTTTCCACTGTTACACATAGCAATTTTTAAAAATATTATTTAGGGTGGCCCGACATTTTTTTCCTCAATGTGTGACGCACCTGTAATATTTCGTGGTAATTGCTTTATACTGGAAACGATATAATGAATAACAGTTGACTATTTATCTTCCATTTATTTTACAAAAAATAAAGAATAAGCAGTTTATTAACACAAAAAAAATATAACCTTAATCTTTCTTTACAAATAATTCCTTAGCATAGCTGCGTATCGGGAGCTGATAGTTCGCGTCGAGGCACGACCACTACTTTGTGTTGCACTGAGTTAAAATAATGTGTTTAAAAAATTAGGGAAGTATAAATACGTAACATTTCATATCGAGTTACTATCAAAGTATTTCATCTGAGTTATTAAAAATTAGTTTAAAATTTTACAGTATTTAAAATTTTTTTTTTTTGAGAAAGCATCTTCAAACGTTGACTTTTAGTAGTAGTCAATAAAATATTAAATAATGGCTGAAAATACCTTAATTTGTAAGAATTACTAGGTAGTTAAAAACCAAAGGAAAAAATGAGTTCGTAAATTTGACAATTCTAGTCATGTTTTTGGAAAATTTTTAAAACCGATAATTTTTTG